TCCATATTAGAGATGCGCCGAATACTAGTTCTTTTGAATAACCATATAGTATTGGGTTTAATAGTATTGTTAAAACTAGGTAGTTTTATAAAACTGCTATCAAATTATTATCAAAAAATTTAAAGCAGAAACGAAAGCCTATATATGTTCTAAATCATTTACAAATAATTGATCATCATGTATCCCGAATCCCGATTGATTCGTTTGTTTTATCTATATTTTTCAGTATTTTATTTGTACCAGGCAACACCATATCCAGTGATGCCAACTTAGGGTAAATTACCCTAGATTTAGAGTAAAATTGATCCTATAAGGTAATTTTCAGGGTATGAATGCTTCGAAGGTATTTTTTGGAGTAATTTATTTTTTGCGGGTATTTTTAGGGTAATAGCAGGTAAAAGTTTGAAAGCGTTTAATAGCATATTATTTTATCAACTCTCAAAGACAAAAAACTCTCAGTTTGGTGCTTCTGAGCGCGTAATAATGCAGTATTAACGCAGATCAATTTCTTTACCTGTCTTTTTTTTCGATTGTGTCTGTTGTCCGTAGCCTAAAGTGGTTGGAGTTAGTATTCTGTGGTATGTTTCTTGTGAAAGCTTGTGTGAACAAGGTGTGAAAGGTAGTTGCCTACTTATTCTATAGTTGAGAAAAATGACATCAACGAGTGAGCCCGATCGCGCTTAATATTTGCAACTGAACTGAAGTTGAATCTTAATCGAATTACGATATTTATAACATGCGGCGATCACTGAACCGAAAAGCGGCGTCAAAAATTAAGATTTTTTTAAAGGTACTTACAATACACATGAATTGGATGGAGGGGGAGTTACAGTCTTAAACCTACCATGTATAACCAAGGGGGAGGTGGAATAGAAATTGATGAAAAAAAAAAGTTACGTGATTAATGGACGGCCCCAAAGCAGCTGTTATTTTCTTTCTTTTTTTCTTTATTCAATGGTAAAGGGCTTTCTTTCTTTATTCAAATGTAAAAAAATATCATATACAAGATATTATGATGGTTAAGTAATTAAAAACTTTTTCACAATTTTTGTCAACTTACTCCAATTGTCTTTTATTTGGAATTTGCAATGCAAGAAAATAATGTTTATCACCTATTCAAAGTGAGTTGTGTGTCCGGAGGTTAACTAGCTCTCTGGAAAATATGCTAAATCTAGGGTAAACCGACATAAAGTCTGGGGTAACGCAAAAAAATGACCTGGCAACACTGATCATATCATGTCTTCAGTTTTTCAATTTCGAGGTTTTTATCTCGTTATGCTAGTTATTGTATCCAAAGAAATTTATGGAAACTAATGTCATCTGTGAATGAAAATATGCAATAAAAGTGTTTTTTTCACTTTACTATGCAGATTTTATAGTATTTTTCTTTACAGCTTAATATGAGTGAATCTTAAAGAAAACCGACGCTCACTTCTTGCTAGAAAGAAGCTTGGCCGCCATGTCTATGTTCGGCTGCGTCTTTGTATTTCGTGTTGTGCTGTTCTTTATTGTTTAAAAAGACAGTGATTGTGATGTTATGAAGCCATGAATTACTTATAATTGTAATTAACTATTTACTTGGACTGTGTGTGGAGTGTTTGATTTTTGAGAGCAAATCAATAGTTTGACCTGTGAGAAAGGGGTACTCCAACATCCCGACATCGTATTTTTAGTTCGTCCGCCATATTGGCATAAATATCTTTTCGTAAGTCTTTTTTCACAATTTCTTAGCTTTAAAAGTAGTATTATGGTATAATTTATTGTAATTTTTGTAGTATAATTTATTGGGCTCATTTTTTTCTATAAGTTATTCGGGGCTCTTCCAGGATTCGTGAATATTTGTGTAATCATATTCTTGGCCTCCTTGGAGGCGATTTTCACCAATATCTTTGCGATTGTGATGCAAGATTTCTTTGATTATTAGAAGAATTATTTTTATTGTTTCAAGTAGTTTATCAAAACCGTTTTTAGTTAAGTGTTATCCTTACGTAGATAAAAACGAATTTGTCTTAATCTTCTTTAAGATGTAGACAGCCATTACCAGGTTTTTTGTTGAATATCTCTTTATATTAAATATCTATTACTTCAGAATTATTTTAAAATTTTCGAGAATTTGAAGTCTCGTATTTCATAACATGTCAAAATTACTAAGATTCGTAATTTTTGTATAGTCTATATAAAGAACATTCTAGAATAGCTAAATTCATGCCATTCTGTGCATTGTCTTGCCCATTGCATGTCATTTAAAATCATTGTTGATTGAATTAATTTATTGGAATTTATGGGGAAAATGAATAATCATTAATACCAAATCAAAATAATCCTATGTGTGATGATTTAAACACAGAAATTATACCTGTTTAGGCATATTTTTTTTTAGTGTGCATGCATGGTAATTTTTATGCTTATTAAGATAATCATTCTATTTGTACTTATATTGTGGTAAAATGAGAACTGGGTCTGACTGAAATTCTGTACTTATAATGATCTACATATGTATAAAGTTTATAGGTTGCTTCAGACTTAATATAGTATTAACAAACTCAAAAGATTCTACTGATTATTCAAAACACAAATATACATACATGGTTCGGTTTTATTTAAGTTTACAAAACTTATGTGTAAATTACCAATAATTTATTTTATTCTAACTGATGCATGCACTTGATAAGGTATTCCTTTGAGAAAATATTGACGGAATTGTATTAACCTGGTTTAAGGGCTTTGAATGTTTTAGCTGTCATACCAAACAGCGTCTTCTCTAAATAGTGGTCTGTTAAATTGATTGCTTTGATTTAGATATGTAAACAAAGAAAAGAGAATGCTGTATTGGTAGGACAGTTGGCCTGTACACTAAAATATTCTAACATATATCTTTATGATATGGTTTTGAATTACAATCTGCAATTACAAGCTACAGTTTGCCTCAATACTGATTTCTATGTTAGTATAAAATACATAAACACTGGGGTAGAAAGTTTGTAAACACAGTTTATGTAAAAATAAAAGTGCCTAACCTCTTAATACAAAACCTGAATAAAAAAAGTTTGGGCTCTAATAGAATACAAAAATTATGGTTTGTAAAAGGCTTATTTTATGTCAATATTGAGACTAAAAGACACTGTAGTTTGAAATTATAAACAAAATTGCAACATTTATAGTTTTTGCCTACATGGTGTTTAGGACCATTTTGCCTGAAGTATTGTATATTCTGGAATTATTATAAAACTAGGAATTGAAATATAGTTTAGACAGCTTCATATGTAATTATGTCATATTCCTGACTCTAGGAATTTGTGGAGCTATTTTTGATACCTATACAGTTTCTGCACTAGAAGGTGACAGTCATGTAAAAAAGCAAAAGCTTATCTGAAAACGTAGCATGTCTAACTTGAGAAAGTGTTGTCTTCGCCTAAATGTCTCCTCTTGGGTAAACCCATAAAACATGTCACTATTAACTCGAGAGAAATGACATTTAGTGTAGACAAAGTGTTTCCCAAGTTTGTCATGCTGGGTTTGTAATTGTGACAATCTAGCCTTAAATTAAACACACGAGGCTGACTTTTCAATTCAACCTCTAGTCACACACACCACCAGAGAACAATACTTTTTTTCGTTTTAAATTTCTTTATTGGGACCCCATGCTTATAGTCAGCAGGTTGTTATATTTAAAGCGACCTATAGAAACACCTTAATACTATAGGTATTCATTTGAATTACTTTGTTAAATATTGATCATTTAATTTAGTACAAAGTAAATATATTTCTTATGTAATAATTTATATTTTGAAATCTAATTTAGTATCTTGTAATTAATCTACCATTTATATTAACCTAATAAACATTCCTATAGTCCAGTAAAGTTGAAGTTTTTTTGTTATATTGAACCCTGAAAAAAGTAAACTTGATGTTAATTGATAAAGTTGTAAATGACCGATGCCATTATTTCACTCTATAAAATGCAAAAATGAAGTATATCACTGGCCAAACAACAGTGTGATATGCAATATTAACTTCATTTTTATTGAAGAAAGTATAATTTTGAAGTTGTCTTGGGTTTGAACATAATTTGGTAATGATGTGTAGGTAATTAACTAGCTATCGATTCAATTTGGCTTTACATGTAATAAGCCTTAATAAATGCTACCACTAATTCAGACAAAATCTAGATTAGGTATTTATAAAAATTAACCAATCAGATGCAACTTCGTTTTATTAAAAGGAGGTTTGTTTAATTTTATAATAAGTAAAAGGATAGACATTGTCTATAATCGTTGCAATAACTTACATTGAAAATAATTCACATAATTCAAGATCAATTAATTATATGTTTTATTATGAATCATGCCCTAAACTAAATTAGGATATTACTAAAATTTTGAATATATGTGCTCTTTGAAAAACTAATGCATTTGAGAATGACAAAAAAGTATTAATTAATTAAATTGTTTCTCATTACATACATAGTAAATTTTCTCTTTATTCACAATGACACACAAGGCACATGGTATTTAAAAATACATTAAAGCATTTAACTGCATTTCATAATGATAATTAGATATAGGTCCTAATTTAATTGTTCATTAGAGTATTCAACATTTATTAATGAGGTATCATTAATTTAATTATTAGTAAATTTTCACTATTTCTGATTCACAATGGCTTAGTAATTATTGTTAAATTATAGGAAGTGGTTCTTCCAAAATCTTAATAGTCATTTGGTTTTCAATCGGTTTTTAACTCTGTTTCAAAGTCATTTTGTTTTCCTAAGATTAAGATAAAGAGTGCTGTGTTGATTTTGGCTATTAAGTGTCTGTGTGCCAAATTAATGAAAATTCAAAATATTTGTTTTATGTGAAGAGGTATCAACCTATTTGTTTATATCAGTTAAACCTCTGCTAGAGGATCATTAAACAAAAATATTTTTGATAAATGTTGTCAGTAATTGTATTTGCAGAAAAATTATGATCAAATAAGCCATTTCTTTAAACCATTGCTTTCATAAATCAAACAGCATTATATCGATAAAGTCCTCACTTTTGACAAAATATATAATTTTTGGTTAGTCAATGTTAAGAAAGCATGTTTTTCAAACTAGTTTTAAGCCATTTAAAAGTGCATTAAGTCAATTTCAATTACGAAATATCAAAGTAACTTAATTAGGTAAATGGCTTGTGAATTAATAAATTCATTTTCATTTCAGTATTGCATAAAATAAACATACCAATTGTTGTTATAGATGTGTCTGTTTGTCTTTTCTAAGATTATGTTCATAAATCAATAATAATTTTCTTTTTTAGGAACAGTTGTGCCTCTTGCTTCAAGAAGGGGTGCTTTTAAAACTGCTACTACCAAAGGAGGTATGTTTGGAAATGATTCTTTTTGTGATTTCAATTTAATAGTGCATACATTAAATCTTTGATTTTTAAAATTTCAAATTATTTTCAGGTAGAAAACATTTGTTTATGAATGATATCAATTTTATGATGGTGCTTTAGCACCTAAAGCAATATTATTAGTATGATTGCAAACTTTAGTGTGATCAGAGGATATAGCTGATGCCTCAGTGTAAGAAATTGGATGAACCTCTTGTCACAATTGAGGTGAGAAATTTATTGGACACTTTGATAAGAAAGATATTTTCTAGTCCTATTTCTTTATACCTACTATAGTGTTTATATAATTTTGGTAGGTAGATTGCTGATTCCAGCACAATGCAGCAAGCTGTTGATCCACTTGCTACAACCAGTACGGTAAGTTGAGTTCACAGTGTTATTTAAAAATGATTCTTAAACAATGTAAATTAATTAATTATTTTTACTAGCCTATGGCGGAACCCGTCAATGGCGCGCCACCTGAAGAGGCCCCGCGAAGACAAGGGCGGATGACCAATCAATTACAGTTCCTTCAAAAAACTGTAATGAAGGCTGTTTGGAAACATAAGTTAGCATGGCCTTTTCACCAACCTGTGGATGCAAAAAAGCTAAATCTTCCAGTATGTATATTTAAAATAAGATTTTCGTTTATTAAAAAAAACTTATTTTGATGTTTATAAGTCACTTTTATTATATATTTTTTGGTAGAAAAATATTTTATAGAGTTTCAATTGGGATTTAGTTGATTCACACTTATAAATATATAAAGATAAACCAACACGAAGTAGATTGTTGATGGTTTATCAACTGCAGATATAGGCTTGGCAATACATATTTGAAACATGAAGAGGCTTGAGATATTTTTTAAGTTGCCTATTCACTTGATAATTTCTTTAAATATGTGTATCCAACACAATAACAAACTCCTTAGTGTGAGAAATTCAACTTAAATACACATATTTTAAATTTCTTTCATAGGACTAGATGTTCAAAATTTTTTTTATGTAATTCAATTCAGAATTTCAGACAGTCCTTAATTTTGATTGTAAAACGTAATATGCACTTAAAAGTTCATCACTGTGTTGGCTATTAAAATATGGAGTAACATATTATAAATTATATTTCAGGACTATCACAAAATCATAAAGAAGCCTATGGATTTAGGTACCATCAAAAAACGTTTAGAATCAAACTATTATTATTCAGCACAAGAATGTATTCAAGATTTCAATACAATGTTTACAAATTGTTACGTTTACAACAAACCAGGAGAAGATGTGGTCATCATGGCCCAAACTTTAGAAAAGCTTTTTTTAAACCGGGTAAGCAAAAAGCTTTCTCTGAATTAATTTATATTTCTTGCTTTCCGCTAGCGACTTTGCGGCACAAAAGTACCTACTGCATATATGTTTCTTATCTGAATATCAAATTTAAGCAAAGTCCGTTGAGTAGTTTTTGCGGGAAAAGTAACAAACATATCTTCATAAACTTCGCATTTATAATATTAATAAGAAATTATTTGAACAGTTAATATTTACCAATATTCCAAAAAGAAGAAATTCTAATATATCATTAACTTTGTTTTTTTTGCATTGCTTTCATTATGAATGTTATCTGAGAGAATGTATATTTGAGAAATTATAATATCATTACTGCACAATTCCAATTGTGGTTTCTAATTAATTTTAACCCTAAATATTTTGATGTTGACCTTGTGTTATCTAACTAAGAGTTTAAATCTATATGATAAGATTGCAATTATTCTTTTTGTATGATTCTCTAGTTCAAAAATATATTTTACTAGCTGACCCGACAGACTTCGTCCTGTCAAAAAGATTTGTAATGTGGCAGTTTCTTTGCCTACGTATTTAAAAAAATTCTCCTGAACAGAACCGTCACCCTGGTGATAGGGCGTTGTGAATAAAAAATAATTAAATAAAACATATATAAGGATTTAAAAGTAAGTAATCGCTTTATTGTTAATCATGTGAATCATAATTATTATTGCAATGTATTAATAGTAATAGTATTAAATATAGAAAAAAGAGATTTTTATGATCATAAAAACACATTACACACAACAGCATTATAAAAGTAAACTATTCGAATTAAAAAAATATATAAACATTCTCAAGGAAAAATGCTGGAAGAATCCATCTACCTGTACCCCGGAATGGGACTCGAACCCATTCGCGATCCAGGGACTGCTCTAACCAATGAGCTATCTAGGACCCAACAGCTTTGCTACTACAGAGCGTATTTTCATCAATGTTCCGGCAATACATGTAATGACGTGGAAACTGATGCATTTTATCTCGCGTGCCGAAACTAATACAAAAGAAACGCGAGTTTCGGAACGCGACATTAAACCCCTCCAACTATGTATTCTGTGCTCCAACGCACACACGCACATTGTTTTGATAGATAATATGATCTTTGACGTTAGGAACACACCTACATTGCTTAGACAACAGTGAGTGCTTGTAATTTAATATGAACTTTATACCATAGCAATAAAGCTCAAATTGACTACGTTTTAGTTACAAATCATTTGTATGGGAAAAAGAAAAGGGCTATTTTTAGGGTTTTTCCAGCAATAATTCTAATTTTTCTCGCCGTAAAAACCATCCTTGAACTTCAACGAACATTTTAAAAAAAGATTTGGCCAAATTGGTCGAGGCGTTGTTGAGTTATGCGCTTACCAACACATTTTGCGATTCATTTTTATATATATAGATTATATATTTTAGATAGCGACAATGGAGAAAGAAGAGAAGGAAATAGAATTACCGTCAAAAGGACCTAAGGGTGTGGCTAAGAAGCGAACTATCGTCCCCGGAGGTACTCCAAGTGTGGGGACTCCTACGGCAGCGAGTGGACCTCGTGCGCCTGTTAAATCAATAACAGCGCCGCCACATCCACTGTTCACTGCTAACACCACTGCTCCTACTGTCCCTACACCCGCCGCTACTCCACCAGCTACTCATACTGGCTTACCTCAGCAGGTAACTGCTAATTCATTATTTCAGCAGGTAAATTAAAAACCATTCATATACAAATAACATACAATGTGTAAAAAATATTATGAGAAGTGGTGGAGAGTTTTAATTTGTGGTTTTTGTTGTAGGTGGCGACGCAACCCTCTAGTTTTCATGTCGCTCAACCCCCTGCGCCTCCCGTTTCCACCATTCCTGCGGTCGCTCTATCCCAAACTCAGCCCGCTAAGGTACTTTAGATAAATGTTAAAAACTTTGCTCATGGTTGAGTCAAGCAAAGAAATTTAGTTATTTTATGGGGCAATTTTTTAGGTGAAAAAGGGTGTTAAGAGAAAAGCTGACACTACAACTCCTATGGGTAGCTCATTTGAAGGTGGCTATACTACTCCAACAATAGACCAGCAGAGTGGTCCTAAACCAGCAAAAATTTCAACAAGGCGGGAAAGCGGTCGGCAGAAAAAGGTATGTTAATCCAATGATAAATAATAAAAAAGACATTGTCAAGAGTAACTGTAATATTTCCGTAGTTAAGTATATTAATATTGTATTTTTTTTTGTAAAGGTGAACCGAACAGGAGAGGATGGATTCAAGATGGGAGGTCTTTCTCCAGGTGTAGGTGGTGCTGGTGCATCTCACCATTCTGTGATGACACCTCAACTTGCCAAAAGCAAGGAAAAGTTGTCTGATGCTTTAAAGAGTTGCAATGAAATATTAAAGGAACTGTTTTCAAAGAAACATTCTGTAAGTTCTTTTATCTGATATTTTAGTAGTGGTAGTTGTAAATTAATAAAAGTCAAATTGTTGGGCTAGTTTGTATTTAGTGCTATTTAACTTGATGTACAATAATCAGATTGTATGTTTTCAACAGGGATATGCTTGGCCATTTTATAAACCTGTTGATGCTGAACTGTTAGGACTTCATGATTATTTTGATATTATTAAGAAACCAATGGATCTTGGAACTGTAAAACAAAAAATGGACAACAGGGCCTATAAAACAGCTGCAGAATTTGCTGCTGATGTTCGTTTAATATTTACAAACTGCTATAAATATAACCCTCCAGATCATGATGTTGTTGCAATGGCGAGAAAATTACAGGATGTTTTTGAAATGAGGTGATTATATAATATATTTGTTAATTTTTTGTGTTCATATTATGTCTAGTTGTTAATGTAGCAGTACATTATAATAGTATTGAAAAAATCAATATCTTGCCAAATCCTTTGTGTTGTAGATGTATGAACCGGGCATAGCATGTTTTTTACACACCTTTCTCTTTCCTTTTCTTAGCTCTTTTCATACATGCTCAGCTTATTAAATGTTATGTTGAAATAATTTCTTAAAAAAGTGTCACTCAAATAACATTTTAAGCAAATATTCACTTATGTTAAAAATTTTTTTTTTTAGATATGCTAAAATCCCCGATGAGCCCGTTCACGTCGGCATGGCACATATGGAAAAAGGAAGCTCCGCGTCGAGTTCAGAATCCGGTTCCGAATCAGATTCTGAGTCTGATGATTCCGAAGAGGAGAGAACAAACAAAGTGAAACTTTTAGAAAAAGAACTTCTCGCTCTACAAGAGAAGATGAGAAAACTAGTTGAGGAATCCAATAACAAGAAAAAGGCCAAGAAGAAAATAAAAGATAAATCTAAGAAGCAGATACCCAACCCAAGCGCTCCGAAGACGAACGCCGCCGCGGCTTACGGAGCAAAAGCGAACAATATCGCAGAGAATCTAGGTAATATTGCAATGACATTAATTCAGACTGAATGAAAAGAGCTATACCGTTATTTATACTTATATACTTATGCTGTGATGAATTCGGAGAATGCTCTTTCTTTAAATGATATTTTGTAGAGAATGGCAACACATGCTTTGATTGTTTATCACTTACAATCAGCAAGAATGACTTCTATGACATAATAAGTTCAATATTGTTTATTACGTCCCTTTAAGAAAGTACGTGATGCTCTGACAATTCAAAGGAAGTTTTATTCGTGGATCTTCAGTTGTTAAGTTCGTGTTTTTATTTCAAATCTTTTTTGTTTTTTAAAAGATAAGCTCGCTTTTAAGGATAAAAGTCCTGTGTTGTGAGGGACAAAGTACACCAAGATTAAGAACAATTATTTGTAAATCACACGAAAAATTGTCCTTTGTGGGGATCGAACAACAAGACTCGATCTGTGGGCAGTTGCATGGCGATAACTAAACCATTCGACCAATTGTACAGCCAAAATCTAACCTGTATAATACAAAATAATGATGACAGTTCTTTCCGAAAAAATCTTTAAAATTAATGTATAGTATATACTTTTAAAATACCTAGTTAAGAGGGGCAGCAAAATTGTCTTCCGCCCCGGGCGGCAGATACCCACGCTACGCCACTGCGGAACAGGCCTAGTATCATTCCGTGTTTGATGTTCCCTTCAAATTCTCTTCCCACTATTTTTGATTTTAGTATTTTAAATCAGACTTCATGTAATTAATATTTGATTAAACAACATTAAAAATAATTAAGTAACCCATTTCTTAATAAAAACCAAACGCAATCCGGGCGACTGCTCTGATCATACTTGAATACACTTACGTAGGTTCGAATCCCATCTCAGAGTGCCAGGGACAAGTAGATTTTTTAAGCATTTTTCATTGAGAGTATTTTCCAGTATAGCATTGTGAATGCAAAATTGATCAGAAATAATAAAAAGACTCCTATTGTTTATAAGCATTATCAAATTTGGCATGATATGTATTGAAATGCTAATATGGTTTATGCAAAAGAAATTCGAAATGAATATTGCATACCTTGCATAAAATATTTTGATTTTTTATTATGCAATCAAAATTTTTGTGTTTTTATTTTCCTTACTCTGATCTTACCTTCGCGATATTAGGTTTGTGATCAATAGTTTTTATTATAGGACCAAAAGTTATACGGTGTGTTTACCTTGGTTGTATCAGTAGAAGTCATATTATGTTAACTTATTAGTGGTAAAATAAAGGAAGATAGTCATAAACAGTATTCTTTAGCTGCGAGCGGCGTCCGCGGTAAGACTGGTAGGTCGCGCGGCGGCGGTGGCGGTGGTGCGGGTAAAGCGGGCGCCCGCGCCGCCCCCGCCGGCAAGAAGAAGAGCTCCACGCCCACCGCCGCACCCGCGCCGCACCAACCGCCGCATCCGGACTCTGAGGACGAGGACATCGCGAAACCTATGTCCTATGATGAGAAACGACAGCTATCGCTCGACATCAACAAGCTGCCCGGTGAGTTGTTAATATATATATAGATGATTTAATATCCTAGCTTTCGACATCTTCGTTTTCGCATTCTGTTAATAAATTATATATATGTCACGAACTTGATGGGGGCTGCAATAAAGCATGGTTTAGTCGATTTCCACGAGGATCTTATTTGGGACTACTTATTTTTATTTTGTATATTAATGATCTTACCAATATCGTAAAAGACCGGTACACTTCTCTATACTGATGCAAAAATTTGAAAGTAATACGCGATACATAAGATTCTGCAAAATGACTTAGGCGAATTTTAATGATTTTGTAACAAAAAAAGGGTTCAGTTCAGTTAAAATTTCTGTAAATCCTGTTTGATGACAAGAAGTTCTAAAGTAATTTTGTCTTCACAGGTGTTTTAATTTTTTTTTGTTGTTCGTCAATGTCCTGTTTCATTCAGAATTAAACTTGTTGATCACTGAGACATCTCTGAATATATTAATTACTGTAAAGTCAATCTAATTTTTGGTTACATTATCTGCACTGCCACATCCTTTGAGGACTTGTCTGAAAGAAGATTTTATTAAGAACCTGTTTCTCAAAGAATTACAGAACAAGCATAACAAACACCATATATACCACTCAAATACATTTGATTCTCTCGCTTAGTCTTTATATTAGAGGTGGAACGGGTAGTTTTTTAGGGATTCACAGTTATCCTTTCGTTGCGGTGTTTTTTTCATAGGTAATTCTTCTGAATGTTTATCTCAATTATGTGGCTCAAAACAGATATGATTTTGTTCTGAGCATGGAGGTATTGTAAATGATCTAAAATAATTGTTCAAATTTTTATGACTAAAATAAATAAGATCTCACAAATCCTATCTTCCGAATATGGTCCATAATAGTTTCTTAACTTTCTGCGATCTCCGATGTTGTAAGAAACTGATTATTCCAATATTGTGAGTCAAAGACAAATTGACAGAAACTGGTAAACTATATTTGTTACATTGCTCTAAAATAATATATGTACATTTTAATAATGACGTGTTTATAATTGTCCTTTCTTCAGGCGACAAACTCGGCAAGGTTGTACACATAATTCAGAGCAGGGAACCTTCGTTACGGGACTCTAATCCAGATGAAATCGAAATAGATTTTGAAACATTGAAACCCTCAACCTTAAGAGAGCTTGAAAATTACGTTGCGTCATGTCTACGGAAAAAGACACGTAAGCCCCCTTGTGAGTGAAGCCGACATTATTTACCTTTTCTAGACCTCATTTCTGTGTATCATAGATGTTTATTGCAGTTTGTTATAATCACTATTTCATTACTAAGAAGCACATTTAAAGGTATTTGTTTATATTAGTTTCTATTACCTCTTAAAGTTTTAAGACATTTTAGTCTTCTTCTATGCCCCCTACTACTAGTGTATGGACGTCGGTTTTGAAAGTTCTTTCCTTACTTTAGCCATTTTAGTATTAAAGTAAATTATAACTATTTCCCGTTATAGGCAAATAATGTTGGTGAATCTTTATTTATATTTTTAATATAAATAAACTCCTGTTTTGACATACAGGATAAAATAATTTTCATTATATTTACAGATCGTAAGATGTCAGGTAAATCTAAAGATGAACAAATAGCAGAGAAAAAGCAAGAATTAGAAAAACGGTTACAAGATGTATCAGGCCAGTTAGGAACAAATAAGAAACAACAGCAAAAGAAAGGTAAGTGTAATTACAAAAATGTTAATAAGATTTGCGGATCTATTTTGAATAGTTAGTTTCCATAGGGAACATTTCGTCTACTTATTTCCCTTTGGCATAAAAAAATAATTAATATTTATAGCTTTTCATTTAGGTTGAACAATTACAAAATAGCTTATAAATACTGGGAGGTTTTCATCATCATCATCATCAGCCCTTTTACTTCCCCACTGCAGGGGGCTTAGGTCTTCCTTATGGATGGTTAAGGAGGATGGGCCAGCGTTCATTTACAGTCGGGACCAACGGCTTAACGTGCCTTCTGAAGCACGGAGTAACTCGAGATAATAATTTTTTGGTCACCCATCCCGTGGCCGACTCTTGCGAAAGTTGCTTAACGACAACGATCGCGGGCCGCGGCGCTTATCCACTACGCCACCGAGCTATTTATATTTAGTTTAGGATAATCTATTTTCTTGTCATAGTGAATAGTTTGGAATTAATTTGATTCATTCTTCACAGAAGGGTGCAAAGACGGCCTTGGTGGAGGCATGTCTTCTTCTTCAAGCTCATCAGACTCCTCTAACTCTTCTTCAAGTACTGACACCAGCTCCTCTGACAGCAGTGACAGTGAAGCAGGTTAGAATATTTAGCGGCACAAGTTATCGAACAAATTTTTTTGTTCATATTTTAAACAAAAAATAGTAGTACTACACTAGTACTGAATAAAATGTAAATTAAAATTTTACTATTAGTTTATAGAGTTATGTGCATTTAAATTAAGCAGTCTTTGATTTTTTTTATGTACATTGAAGTTGCTTGGGATCTGACAAAAATAGGTTGTCGTCAATATATTTGAAATCGGTATTACCTTTGCCAGTATTTTTTATTGTATGACTGAAGTTTTGTGTTTTAAAGAAATAATACAATAATTTTAACCATTCAAACATTTTATTCTAGTCTTCAAAATAATATCAACAGCTAATTGTATGAAGAGTATGCTCATAAATATTTCAAATTAAAATCTATGACAAAACTTAGCTCGCAGCATCTGTGAGTTACACCTTTCTGTCCATAGGAGAGGAAAGGCTTAATTGTTACTATATTTCTAGTTTTATGTGTGGCGTCCTATTTTTTATTGTGAAATAGACTTAGTTCAGTTCATCGTTATTATTTTGTACTATAAATTTCACAACTGCGCTTTTATTGCGCATGTTGAATTTGAGAGTAGACTCGAGCAGTGTACCTGTGGAGTCTATTGTAAATTTTAAGATTTTGAGACTCGAGTGAATGAAAATTGAAAGAATGTGAGGTAAGTTTGTGAAAAAACCTATGAACTTAAATTGTAGTCATAGGTGACCGGCGCCCGTTATTTATAACAAATGTCAAGGGTATTTAATAAAAACATCTTATATTTTCGTGAGTTGTGGCGTACGAGTGAGAGAGCTCATAATGTAGCTCTGAGTATGACTTTTCACTGTGATAATGGAAAGAGGGATACCACCTGAAGTTCTGATTCTGAATAACTGTACGAGTCCAAAGTTTGCTTTGCTTTAAGAGACGATTGTAATTTGGCACAAACCAGTTTAGTAAGAAGGAGACCAGCTTTGGTGTTCACTGATATTTTGTTGTGGTGCCGGTAAGACCAATTTAATATTTGGTTTGCTTTCTTAAACCAATAGGAAATACCTTTTCACATTAATATTTTTAACTATATCATGTCCTCAACGCGATATTATTTCATTTGCATCCTTAAAATTTCAATTTATTATTACAAATTAACTATTGGAAACTTCAGATCTCATAATACTAGTGACTTTTAAGTGTGAAATTGAAACCCAATATAATTATTGTTTACTGAGCTCGCATGAGCCGTGGGAGCAATAAGCTAGAAGATTGATAGTAGTGTCGGTACGTCCAGTGTTACGAACTGAAGAGGATCCACCAGACATCTGACGAGCTGAGTGCAGTCACGTAGCGAGTTAATGCAAACAATTGTGTAAGGACGGATACCATCTTTGCAAGCAAAATTTATACATGTGGGATTAAGAGGATGTAATTTTGTGACATGTTGTAGTTAAAAATTAGTTTTTGAAAAGGTATGGTTTTATTGGTTTAATGCTTGATGAACACTTAAATGCTTGCTCCAAAAATGTGTTGTATGATCAAAATTACAAAACAAATGTTACCAAATACCTAGCTGGCCTCCTTCCTTCACAAATTGTTTGCAAACTTGTTAATACAATATTATAAATATAATTTTAAAATCAAACATTGTAATGAACTGTGTCTAAAAGATATTAAAATTCCTACATGTCACTGGCAAAATATAGCCTCATAAGTAAATTACTAGACTGTTATAAATAAATGTAAAATATTAGACATTATCTCTGACAGTTATATTATTAACCTTTTAATGACGTTCTTATCATTCAAGACTGCATACTTTTGCGTGGTACCTTATTTGAAGGAAGAAGGAAAATGGTGCCCCGCTATATAAAGTACCGGCTACAGGTGCTTAATAAAAACACGTGAAAATGAGCGAAGTTCTTTTTATATTATATTATTTATCTCTGGTGAAACATGAATTGATTTTTATGTGATTATATTTTTTATACTTAGGCAAATTGAAAACATAGCAAGATAAATTCTTTTTAACACCTTCATCTTTAGGATCGAATTAAATATTCGTATTTATTGAATTATTCTGTTGCTCTTTATCATTATTTTGCCATTAAAACGATTAGTTAAAAGTAATAAAACTATGTATAGTATTTATGTTAATTTTTTATATGGTTAAGTAGGTGTCTTGTCTCAATAAGCTCTAAATTATTTTCACTTGGAATTGTAACATAATGTAAATGAACAATTACTTATTGCATTGCAACAAATTACACATAGAGTAGATAATTTAAGAAATTAATAGCTAAAATACTGTAAACAGCAGGCCTAAATGTTTCATTGTCGATGTGATTATTTTTAGTACATATTTATTCATACGTATGTAAAGGTACTTAGTGTGTCAACCTAGTAATTTTATTAGAGTCGTCACATTGCAGATTGTAAAATGTCGATCATTTTGCTTCTATATGTATAGTATTTATTTTGATTATTTTACACTTGGAATATCTGTTATTTTTGACAATATTCAAGCTCTGTTAGTCGAAGTATCAGAGATCCGCAATCAGTGTTTTTATATATTTGAGAGTAGATGTTTTGTACATTCCTATTAAAATTCACATAACAGTTTAATTTTTACTGCAATCAGCAAATTTTAAAAGAATGTTTTGATTTGTGAAGTACAACCTGCTGATTGCTCTATGATATATTATTGTAAGTTAGATTTTAGTGATATATAAATTTTATATAATAGTTCCTCAACTTGGAACAAGTATAGGATTTTGCCAATACACTACTTCAATGGAGGTTATATTTGCCCAAATCAATTGTTTGAATAGCTATAATTTGCTTTTAAATGACATTCTAGAAGTATTGTTTGCCATTGGATTGAATTTATATAAAAAAGTATAAAAATACACTGTACAATTCGTTTTTGAACGCAATTTCGGTTATTGCAATCAAAGGAGAAAATTGAAGTGCGCAAACAGAAACACCATTGGTAGTTACAATAAATTTTATATAAGTTTATTTAATCAACTCATGACTTCAAATTGTTTAGATTATAAGAGTGAGTGGAGATAAACTTTGTATATATTTCAGTATATAACGAGAATTTAAGTAAATCTTTTAATTAATTTAAAACGAATTTTATTTGCCCAGTCCTGAGATCTGAACTTTCCATAAAATAGTTATTTTTAACACTTAATCTACAAGCGAGTGGTCCAGCAAATGTGATACATAGACGTTCTACCAATATTGTTAGCCGGCTCCAGAATATCAGTGAATACAATAAAGTTTCTGCTTAAATTAATAGCTATGGAAATACAAACGGAGATTTTCTATAAAGTTAAGTATTTATAATTACAATTCATGTTAATGTCATCATCTTTTCGTATGCGTTAATGTGAAATTTCATTTTAGGCACGGGCTCCGGGCGAACACCTAAAAAGAAAGTCAAGAAGCAGACCCAGCAACATCAGCCTCCGACTGTAAATATACTACTTTCTGTTTAGTTTTATTTTTCTCTCAATGTATACTCAAATCACAGTTATCAATGGTAATTTTCAGAAGATAGTACCGCCGATAGCTATACCCGTGTCTACAGCGCCGGTAACAGGGGCACCTGTGCCCGAAGCCCCGGCGGTTGTTACGGCACCAGTGGTCGGTGCTGATACAAAGTGTGATTTGGCTGAGAGCGCGCCAGTGGCACCTGATACGAAGCCGCAAGAAACTACAATTGCTCCTCCGCCTACGCCCGTCCCTGTTCCCGTATCTACACACACTGCCACCATCGCTTCGGTACCAGACTCCTCGGTTACCCCTCTGTCTCGCGAAGTGGACGAACAAAAGCCTGTCATCAAAACCGAGCCCCGAAATGGACTCGATAAAGTGGATCCGTCCCACTACATCGATCCGATAGAACGGTCGTTAGCTAGTTTGGAAAGGAGTTTGAACGCCGACGTCCCTATGGACGTGAGTGTAGGCGTATCGGAGTCGTCGATGCGTCTAGAAGAAGAATTCTCTTTGCCTAAGACGCCTATGATACCGGATGCGGCGCACCAAAACCTTATGGCTCAATTGGGCGGTTTGACCGAGATAGCAGCTCATGTACCTGAACAAATTAAAAGTGAAATGTATGTGCCACCACACAATGGATTCGTGGAAAAAACTATGTCGCATGAGCGAGATATTATGCGTGATGTTAACCCTAGTATACCTGATATAGCTCCTGTAGCGCCCGTAGCTTCTATATTTGACCCCGTTCCTTCGGTACCGCATAGCGTGATCGCTCAATCTCATCACAATATGTCCGCAGCTCCTTGTCTTATAACGCCTACTGTGAAAAAAGAGGATATGAAACCTCTCCTAACGCCAAAACCGATAGAAGATCTCATTGGTGTATCTAATATGGTCTCTAATAAAATGTATGATAGAGCAAAATATGAAATGGATAAAAAGTTGGAAGACGTCAAAAACTCAAATTTCGTTCAGGCATTTAAAATAAAACAAGAACAAAATCTTAAAAATGCTAGTTCCTGGTCTTCTTTGGCACAAGCTGGTAGTCCACAGAGTATACCAAACATGGGCTCTAACAATCAAATGAAACAGAAGCCTGTTATGGACAGCTTTCAGGTGAATAATCTGTTGTTTTTTCATGTTAAGTTATGTTTTTAAAGTAGATTAAGATGGAATAAAGATTTAATTACCTTTTCATATTTTAGGCATTTAAAAAGCAAGCAAAAGAAAAGATGGATAGGCAAAGAGCGTTAATAGAGCAACAAGAATTACGAAAAAAGGAGCAAGCTGTAAGGGAAAGACAACGGCAAGAAACAGAGCGACAACATCCGGATGACGATAAAATGAGGTTTGTACATGTTATTTTTGGGACACTGATTTGTGTGGTTCTAATGGTTTAATAAATAATTTATTTTCAATCTTAAATATATATGATTAGCTATTTGCTTTTATACTGATTTTAACAAGGACCTACTGAGTAAGGAATTAATTTTTATATCATATACAAAAATAAACCATGGAGAAGTACTTTTCATTTAGCAACTAGGTATTATCAAAATCGACTCAATAGACTAATCTACATTATTTTATGTGGAATTATTTGTCTATAGTGATAAATTTCTGACCACTTATCGCCAATCTTTATAGGTTTCTATGTAGCGCGATATCTTTATGTGTGGGTCAAGATAGGTACACCAACGTATTTGAGGGTCTTATATACGTTCTTTTGCTAGCTATATGAGAGATAGACAGCAGTTTGTTAAGCCATATTTTGCGAGGTCTTGTGTGAGTCGGGGTTCGAATCTGGGATCACTGGCATTTGTTCTCATGATAAACGACTTACCTGAAGTAGTGGAAGATCTAATGTGTTTATTGTTTGCGGATGATATGAAGCTGTCACTACCTATTAGAACTGAAACCGATTGTGAAAGAATACAATACAATACATTATATAATACATTCAAGTTTAATACTTCGAAATGTGTCACCATCAGGTTCTGTCGTTCGTACTGTCCTATCCGATCTAGGTATCGTGTGGAGGAAACACCGATGGTTAGAGTCACAGAGCTTAGGAACTTTGGCTTGACAATCACGACCAATCTCTAATTTCGTGATCACATCAAAACTATTTGTATAAAGGTCTTTCAAACTGTAGGATTCACCTTGCGTACTGTTCGTAACTTTATTAATATGTAACCTATTGTTGCTCTTTACAATACATTGGTTAGGAGTCAGTTAAAATGTAATTCAGTCGTTTAGTCACCGCATGAAGTTAAATAAGTATATGCCTATTGCTCGATAAGATAAAAAAAATATATATATTAGATTTTTGTATATGAAACTATACGGAGTGTATCCTTTTTATCCACTTATATATCCAACCTTATTTATATTGGGAAAATGGTGGGGTACAACGAACTTAGCGTCAGGAGGGAGCTTACACTGGCTTCCTATATTTTCAAATTGTTAGAGGAAATATTAGTAATCCTAATATGTTGGAGTCAATACAGTTACATGTACGGGATAGATACGTGTGACGACGCCGAAAACCACAGTTGTTGTTTGTGCCGCGCGCGCGTACCAACCTGATGATGCAGGCGCCTTTGACTCGGGCATACCGCACTCTTAACCTTATCGCTGATCGAATAGATTATATTCATTTGTTCACTGAATAAATACATAAAGACTGCTTTGTATATGTCAGCGGGTAGTCAGAAGGGCAATAAAATAAAAGAAACTAAATCAAACGATCTTCGTAAAGATGATGCGACATATATTATTTGTTATATACGTCAGTGATTTTAATATAGTTTATATTAATTATTTTTGATCAATTTGGCATTCGCGATTCTATACTGAATTTATTTTTAATAGTTTAAATTCATTTTTGATGTAATTGTGTTATTTGATTTTTAATGTCTTGATTATTTTATATTAAAATCACTTATATTTTATTTTTTATATTATATATGAATATTTATTGACTATTAATTTAATTAGGTTATGGTGTTTTAATGTTAATGTGTGTATTATATGTTTAATAATGCAATTGATTAATTTTGCTTTCACTATCGCATTGGGCTGTAATGATAGATGTCTGTAGAAATAAAATGTCTCAAAATCGTGAGTTAATAGTCATATAGTGATACAAAGCATATAAATAGTGACATTACGGTGTGTTAACTCAAAATCACCCCAGAAGACCTCGCGTAGTTCTTTATAGTATGACGCAGTGGGTGAGGGGCCGCTTCGTCTACACCTACTTACACATAAGTACTATGCTGGGAACTCGAGAAACTCGAGGAACGGGTCGAGAATGAGACATACAATATCTCACTCCCGGTATTACTGTCGCCCGATTTTCTTTTGTTATTTTAAGGAGGCTGATGAAATATAACAAGTTGACTGATAGAGTCGTTTTAACTAGGCCGATACAAGGTGTCCGGAAACCGGAAAGTGCAGAGGTTGCGTCACCGAGTGTTTCACCGGTGGCGCGCGCGTCACCGCCCGCCGCGGTGGCCGCCGCCGCAGCCGCCGCGCCAGACAAACCGGCAGCCAGCGAACGTGAACGCCTCCGACAGCGAGAGCAGGAACGCCGTCGCCGCGAGGCTGTAAGTATTCTTCTGAGACCGCAACTTACACGTACTCTACACACATAATGTACAGTACAGTTCCCGTTACTGTTTATTCCATATATTATAGATAAAAATGTCGATAACGACACTATAGATTGACTAGAATCTGAGTAAATTACGATGTTTCATTGAAATTATTGTTTGTTTACATAATCTTCGTACTGACCGCCGGCCATTTGACATTTCAAAGTCCGACGTCATTGTAACCGCTAGTGAATGATCGGAAAGGCGATAATTCTCTGAACCCCTATTGTTATCAAATTATCTAGCAATTAGCGTATAAAGTTCTGAGGTGAACTCGAATTCAAATTGATTGACTACTATGAGGAAGTTGCGCATTCCAGATAGTTCACGTAAACCTTAAAAGGCGACAAACTGGAACCTATATTAACAATCTTTTTTATATTAGATTGAAATATTATTTCCTCTCGATCTCGGAAAAACTGAACTCCCTGGTACGCTACTTGTATTTTTTTGAAACGTTATTAAATTGCTATTTTTGTTGCAGATGGCTGGGCAAATAGATATGAATTTGCAAAGTGATTTAATGGCTGCATTCGAAGAATCATTGTAATTTGTGTCGAGGACGTTATTATCAATATGTACATATATGAGTATGTAATTATGAATAATATAAGCAATGCAATCGATATTTGTAGGTCGGTGAAATGACACCAAAGTGATTGTGATCGTTTTGTGTGTGGAAAGTTGACTAACATGTGGTTAAGTGCTGTGAATAGATATACTTATTTTAAATTAAACTGTTGTACACCATCAAATCTTGACTTTCGTGGTCGTGTTATGGGCCTTTAGGGGGTTGCATTTTAAATAATGTGTATCTGTAAGTTCTTATAGTAAACAACTCTCTTACATTCGTATGCCTATATATTTATATTTCGTTCTAGAAGCGTCTTTCTATCTTCCGTAATTGTTTTATAGTACGTACTAATGACTAGCGTGGTAGTGATTGAATTTGAAAAACAATCAGAAATGCTTTATTTTATGTAATTGATGAATAGACAATCAACTTAACCGTGAAATCTGTTATATTGTCCATACCCTTTTTCATTGCATGATATAATGTAATGTAGTCATCACAGTTATGTTAAATAAATAAGACATTATTACTGTTCTTTAAATATATATATATATATTATTATTATTATTCTAGACTGGGTCCTGATTGCAAAGAAGAAGGTTATGGAATTTGTATTTATTACTAGATTGAATTTCTGTTACGTATTCGATTTTCGATAGATATTGCTTAATGTTAGTAGATTTTTTATCAGTCTGTCACTCGAAACAGATCAAATGTCATACATTTGATTTGAAATATATTTATTTTACATTGGAATATGTCTTTTTATGTTGTAGATAGATAAATCCAGAGGACAAAGTACAGTAACAATCAAATTCAACATAATCAATAAGATATCATATTGCCAGCTCAACACGAAATTGTATATTGTTAAGCAGATTTTAATTTCAGTCATTTACTCGAAACTTGAAAATCAACAATGTAGATAATATGAAATAAATATAATGACATTCCACATTGTAAATATGTTGTTTAAATTAAAATAGTATAATTTGAAAATCATGCCATTTATAGGTTGAGTTATAATATGGGATCCGTCACCTGAACAATATGTAATAAGTTTTTCTATCTATTTGGCGAACATTAAAAGTTTAAAAGTAGGGGACATCATTAACATACCTCATTTAGGTTTCGAGCGTACACCACGAGAACACAGGTTGGTTGAGCGATTTATGAGCATTTTGCGACAGACGATGCCCGCGAGCAGTACTCGGGTGTCCTTCAGTCCAGCAGCGCCAATTTCTTGGATATTAAAATATATAGGTATTATGTTCCAAAATCCCTATTTACCAGTAGCTGACGAAATAAGAACAAATTGCCAAGGCGCTTTGTTTCGGAGATATAAAGGTGGGACTAGGTACAAAATGTAATGCATTTTTGGGGAAAAGTTTCATTCTTAAAACTATACATATTCCTAAAAAGTTATATCACCATGTGTATCAAACGTTATTGTTTAATTAAGACATTTTTATAAAAGGTAAAACGTTTTTATTCTTTCATTTAAAGTAAATTAAGTTAAAAAAATTCACGCGAAAAAAATCTAATCTTAAAATCTTTGCAGTACTATTTTCTTTTTCAAACTTAAAGCGAGTTGTGGTATTATCTAACGTTTAAAGTTGCAATCACTTTCGGAACGAATTATGAATTGAATGATCAAGAAACCTAATAAAGTCTTAGTAACTTAAACTTGAATGTAACGCTTGCCTTAGAAAATTTCAATCAACGTGAAATTAAAAAGGCGCCGCCGTCGCTATCACACGTGAAATAGTTGTTGCGTGAAATTCGTGAATATCTTTCAAATTGAAAGGGATACTCAATAGTGATAGTTATAACGATAAATTATGTAAAATGTTGGAAATGGTAAATTATATTTAAACATTGTAGGTTCTATTTTCAAAGTCAAAGTATTTATTTCCTTAAAATAAGCATAGTAAGATTTTAAAACAATTATGTTTCTATCGCTACAATTTTTGCAATATTAACTTCAAGGATTTATAATTATTATAAAACGCAGACGGCAACGACGGGAGATCGTGTGACGTCCCATATCAAATAAATAAATGGCAACGTCTTCGTTGCGAGGAGTTGTACTCAATTTTATTGAAATGTGACGTCACGGTCGGAAAAGTCATGCGACTGATATCCGCGGGAAATTATGAATAAAAATATGTCTTTCCGTCAATTTGTAATACTTAGGAGAAAAATAAATAAAGTAATACAAATAATTTACTGTAACGTACGGGCGCTTGTGCACTACACTGAATTTTCAGGTCCGGTGTTTGCTCCCAAAAAGCTAGATCGACGTCTAATATTTCTTTTTCTCTAGAATCTAGCAAAGTAACAATACTAGAACCATACGATGATCAAATTAGAACTATATCGAGTTTGCCAAGGCATATGTAGTGATATTTATCCACTTTATTGAATCATCATATAAAATATCGCATTTTATAATTTACAATAAATATCGATTTTTCATAAATCGATTATTTTTTCCCAAGCCTACTCCGCAGGTTCATGAATTTTTCGGATCGCGGGCACAGCAGTGCAGAAGCATAAACACGTTTTCGTTGCCGTCATCACGGACCTGAAAAAACCGGCCCGGAATAGAGAAAAGTAAAATGCCGGACGGTAAAATTCCTGACAGTACACACGCTAGCATTACCTACATATGGCATGACATATCGGACCGCCGGATCTGAAAATTCGGTGTAGTGCACAAGCGCCCTACTAGTGCAATGAGTACAGCACACAGCAATACAGCATAGGTAGCTTATTGATGTATAGTCGACAGCACATCAGGTTATACAAAAAAGTCAAATTTCTCCGGTTATTATATTGTGGTTAGGGTACAAAATTATTTGCGTAAAATCGACTTTGTGGTAACCTGAAGTGCAGCAGAGTGTACCTGAGCAGAAGGTTAAACAAAGTGCTGCAAGTGATGGCCAATCAGAATGATTCATGTTATTATTATTGAAACAAGACTTATTATAAACTAGCTCTGCCCGCGACTTCGTGTGTGTGGGGAAGTATATTTGGAAAATCCTTCCTTTCCTATGGATGGAATCGAATCTAATAGGATCTGAAATATAATAGACCATAATTCACTACACGGGCCCAATGAGGATTGGCGAGTGCTAAGGATTGCAGATACAGTCGGGTCCAACGGTTTACCGTGACTTCTTCCGAACCACGGAGGATCTCAAGATAATTTATTGGACATCCATACGACCCTTACGAAAGTTATTTTTTTATATTCTTTTTCGCAGATCTTGTGCTCTGGTTGTCGCTTGTCTGAGCATTTTGATCATATATTAGGTACTCGTATTAGTAATGCTCTATTGATAGGCTGTTTCAGCTGTTTTTTTATTTTGAAATTGTTATTTGTTTATCTGACTAGCAGGCCAATTAATGTTTACGTGACGTGTTGCAAAGTCTAAGCTTTATATAAGCACAAGCGCAGTTATGTATCGGAGGAAGTTTCAGACCCGGTATAATGTATGTATGTGATATGATCGGCATTTAGACTTGTTTCGCGATCTTCAGGATTCTCCTGTGATCAAACGCTTGCTGTATAAGTTCTCCGAGAGCTCAAACGATTTTCCCTGACAGTAAAGGCAGATTCAAATTTATCGTGCATGAGCCTCGCGATCGGCAGTTAAATAAACTTCGAGTTCAGTTGTCTCCTGTGACCGATTGCTTTCTGTCCGACTGAGAACCACGTGACGTCTTATTGGTCTTGGGGAACATCAGAGAACCAGGCTTACCAACTTAGAGCTTTTAGCCCCAAATTTAGGGCGGAAATAAACAAAGTGGGCTTTTTTGGGGCTCAAGAAAATTTAGGGCAAATTTTAGTGACAAAAAAATAAATAAATTAGTAATCAAAAAAATCTGGAAATGTCTAAATTACCCATTATATCTTTTTATTTGTTTTAAAATAGATTAATCAACATCGTTTGCAACATACAAAAGAACTTTGTTTTCTCTTCGAATTCACCAATTTATAAAATATTAAATTATTTGACAAAACAGGTATGTACCAATTGTGCATTATATAGAACCAAATGTTTAGCTGGACGTACGTGTATGGGCGCTTGTGCACTACACTGAATTTTCATGTCCGGCGGCCCGCTTTTTTCGGGTCCGATATGTCAGGCCATATGTAGGTAATGCGCGCTTGTGCACTGTCAGGAATTTTACCGTCCGGAATTTTACTTTTCTCTATTCCGGACCGGTTTTTTCAGGTCCGTGATGGCAGCAATGAAAAACGTGTTTACGCTTGTGCACTGCTGTGTCCGAGATCCGGAAAATTCATTAGGAATAGGCTTGGGAAAATATAATCGATTTGAATCGATATTTATTTCGGCAATATTGTTAATTTCCAATAAACTTATAATCTATATTTATTGTTGATTATAAAATGCTATATTTTATATGATGATTTAATATAGTTGGTATATATCACTGCATATGCTTTGGCAAACTCGGTATAGTTCTAATTTGATCAGCGTATGGTTCTAGTATCGATACTTAGCTAGATTTTAGAATCGTATTAAAAGTATCGATAGCTTAAGGTAAGATAAATAAGTGTTGTTACGCTTAGACGCCTAAACAACTGAAACCATCTAAATGGAAATTAATATAGTAAATAGACTTAACTTTAAGAAAGATCAGAGGCTACATTTTATCGCGAAAAATAGGGGATGAAAGTTTGCCTGGAAATTATTCATTATAAATTTTTTTTAGACAATTGATAAGTATAGATAAATATTTGACAACAGCAGTAATAATAAAGAATAAACAGAAGATTAACAAAAGTAATTAAGTGACACTCAATGTCTTTTTCGCATTTAATAAAATTTTAAATGTATATTTGTGTCATTAATAAATTTTTAAAAAATAAATATTCTAAGGGAATAATATTTCTGCTCAAAGAAACTACACCACGCGTATAAAATTATGCCTATATATAATACAGTCAACTGATCTCGTAAAGTTCATTTAGCATAATAATTCTCCGCTAACACGGCACTAATTTCGATTTGTTTACGAAATGGCGCCACCGATTGGTCTATCTCTGTAATCGCTGAAAGTTGTTTTTACAAAACTTCGAAAAAAAATAGCACATTTAAAAATATTAACATCAAGTACTAGACCATTATCAGTAATTTTATTCTAATGTCAGATATTTTTAGCTATTGTATGTGAATAATGCTGTTCCTAAATTAGTAAGGGTATAAGTTTTTACATCTGATAGTAGTCATCCGATAGTAGTAAAAAAATGCTTTCGTCTTGCCATAATTTATTATGGTTTATGTAAAACGATCAGATCATTATTTAGGTACCTTTCTACGTCTTCGAACGGAATTACCAACGTTCCAAAAATCTCATCGTACCTAGCGTAAGTGACGTGTAGCTTCAAAGAGAGCTGCCCTACACTGCGCCGCTCCGATCAGGAAAAAACGGACAAGTGCACAAGCTACTCATCCGAGTTTTTCATGTCATTCCGGACCGGAAAAAATCGGACCGCCGGACCTGAAAATTCAGTGTAGTGCACAAGCGCCCTATGTCCGTGGTCTATCTATACATATTGCTATGGCTTCAATATGACATTTTCTAATCAATTTGAATTTTCAGTAGTTTTAATTTCGTGTCGTGGTTTTTGAAGCTATTAGCACGATTATAGAACAATGGGTTGAACTTAAATTACTATTTTCACTTGCTAAGTCGCAAGACAAATGTTATATGGCAGAGCAGCTTCATGATATGTCTTATAAAACGTCTAACCGTTTAAAGCGTTGTTGGTATTATTCAACTGAATGTTATTTTCCAAAGTGACGAAAGAACCTATTAAATTATTTGAAGGACAGGGCTTTTTTGGGGCTTTGGATTTGGGGTTATTTGAGTTTGGTTTTATTTTGTTGGGAGTTGGCAACACTGCAGAGAACTAATAAATTAAATTCTATCCGAGCTTGCATCAGGTTTGCACCGGTGAATAAGCCTGCATCCCCAGCGAAGGCTCATAATCAGTGGCGTAGCTACCAAGGGGCTAGGCGGGGCAGTGCCCCGGGGCCCTCAAGCTCAGGGGGCCCTCGAATCTTTCGAGTCAAGATTTTTTTTCGGGAATGGTTAAAAAGTAAATGTATCAGAAGTAAGTAAGCATATGTTTTTTGTACTGGTCCATACAAAAGTTCAATTTTATTTGATTATAGTACGTATACATAGTTACGTAAAGAAATCTATAGATTTCGGTTACTCACTAAAGTATAATTCAAAATACCGTGAAAAATACAAGTCACATGCGGTAGGGGCCGTCCACTAATTACGTGATGTTTTTTTTTGACATTTTTAAACCGCCAAATGTGGTAACACTGGCGGCGATTAAAATGTTTGCCGGGGATTCCCAAACGACGTCTTGTATCGTATCAATACGTTTCCCTTTCCTTTTACTTGTAACGTTGTCAGTGAACAGTGAGTACCCACTTGAGTACAATCTTACATAAATATTGCATAAATAAATTAGAAAACTAATATTATGGACAAAAAAAAAGAAACCGAGTGGTGCATTTAAACTCAAACGCCAAGAAAGAGAAGAAAGTAAACAAAAATTGCCCATAATTGACAGTTTTTTAGTCAGCCTTCTGCAAGTACTTCTGGTCAAAATATTTCTATTGATAATTTTTGTAAATAGCTTGCATATAGGTTAAATACCAGTAAGCTGGTGCAACGTATCTATGAATAAATAAATATATAATAAACCCTTGAATCTTTTCTATTTCGTTTTATTGCCCAATACCTACACCAAGTATAAAAATAATTAATTTATGTTGTTAGTGTTTAATAGTTTTATTACCTGTCCATGCACGAAAAAGAGCTGATGATAAAGTTGCTTAGCATTTTAAAGTATTTGTATATTAAATGATTTTACTTCAAAAAACCTTACCAGTTTTGATAGCAGTGGGCCCCATTTTTTTATTTGCCCCAGGGCCCTAGGTTACCTAGATACGCCACTGCTGATAATACCTTCGTTCGCACGATCGTATCTCATATGTTCATATTAAACTGAACCCTATTCGACATCATATCAATTAACCATATAATATTTGAGGTCAACTTATCTTGGAAACTGATATTTTTTTATTTATCATCATACAAATTACCATTTTCCAGACAACATCAATACGTAGTTCGGTGACCCAACGGATCAGCACCGCGGCACGTTTGTTATTGCTAAGTTAGTTTCGCAAGGGTCAGTCACGGGATGGGTGACCAAAAATATCTCGAATAACTCCGTTTCGGAGGGCACGTTAAGCAACGACCAACGCGTCCTGGCTACATTTGCAGTTGTTAATAGCCTCTAATCTGCAATGTGTGAACGTGAAGGCTAATGGCCCATCCTCCAACCATAAGGAAGGTCTGAGCAGCATTTGAGACGTAAAAGGGCTCGTGATGATGATGATTAATACATTAAAAACTAAAATTTCATAAAAATAATTTCGTTGCAATTTTAGCGAATAAAATACATCAAATTGATGAAACTTATTTATGAACCGATTTAAATAAGACTTGCACTTATATTAACAGAAGACTACCATAATACAATAGTGACAACTACATTTAAATCGGTTCCGTTATCAAACAGAATTTCTAAAAATCGTTGTTTTGGGTTCTATAACCTTTATAAATTCCCTCTCACCCATACTATTTTTTCTCATATATCTTCTACGTTCAGGAAGATATTAGTTACGTTTTTATTATAGAATAAAAAGATAGATAAATCACATATCCGTTTAGCAAAGATAACAGAGCAAAATAATAAAATTAGTAAACAGTAAGTCGGGTAGCAAAAAACTGTTAAATTCCCCCTTATTAAAAATTAATTGCGGAAAGTGGAGTGGAACTTGAAGTGTGGCCGTGTGATAAGTATAAAATAAATATATAAAAGTACAAGTTCCGCAAATTCCCGAATCGTTGTTAGGTGATTTTGTTTGATACTCTGTCACAGTACCACCATGCTGTCGCGCACTAATAGATTCCTATATAATAAAAGGTACATGAATTGTGCGTATAATAATAAAAATGGTACACATTATGCCGATACCACATAGGCTCAATTATGGTTCTCTACAGAGAAAAAAAATTAATATTACGGTGTATAAGTATTGTCTTGCTAAAGTAAAAAAATAAAAATAACTATTGAACAAAATAAAACAATGTAATCCAGTTGGAATTATAATATATCACATTCCTCGATCTGTACAACTAAATTAAGACTACAAACAAGCGCTTATATATATATATATATATATATATATATTATTATTACATTATATGTATGTATATTTTAAATAAATTCATGTTACAACACCCTTCCTAAGACGTGTTCGAATCCCACTCTATAAGGTAGGCAGGAGGCGTGTTAGGTGCGAGGCGACGAGCTAAAACACGGAATGTCTGCCCCGCACGGAAATAAGACTGTACTCTAGACTTTAAGGCTGATAATTGTTCAGCATCTACTTCAGTTACATTGCTGTTTCCTTTATGGGGACTCAGCTGAAGACTCTTGACGCTATTATTATTGTTTGCACTATTGTTCGTGTTGCGTCTTGCGTTTTCGTAGTAATTTTTCTCTTGCCTCTGTCTCAGTCTTCTTCCGTGAAATTTTACATTGTTGTGTGCAGTGGGCGGGGCGATATCCACGTTTTCGTTTTGCGTTTGGGCAGTCTTATTTGTGTCATCGGGCAGTGGACACGATTTATTCAACTGAAAGTTTAAAATAGAAAATTTCTGTGTAGCAGTGTTGCCATTTTAAGTGGACGCCTACAGAAAAAAACACTATATATACTAAGTTATAATATACTAAAAAATAACATCCAAATATGCTAGAATTAAAAAGGAGAAACTACATTATAATTCTAAGGGGTTTGTCACAGATAGAACGCGAATTAGTATGTATAGTTTTCTCAATAGAAAAAATTATTAATGTACCCTCAAAATTTACTTTTTTCGATTTCTTCTAGTTCTCATAAATTGGTAAATATATTATAGCGTTTGAAACACTACAAAAATCGTAAACTTTTAAAAGTAATAATTAAATTATTGCTTCACGCCCTTCGCCATCCTCTGCTCCTATCTATCTCATTTCGGTAGCCACGAAATGAGATTAATAGGTATGAGTCCCCAGTCTTAAAAATTCTCAGGTACACGAGATGAGACGAAATCCAAACCCATAATCTTTTGCTAAACGTAGCGCTATCGCACTTGCAGACCGTAACACAACTGTCGACTTTCATAACTACGTTACTTTCGCTGCTAGTGAGCATACTTTCCTCGTACAAAATTTATCAAATTTAAGTTTGAAAAATAATAAAAGTTGACAACAATTATCAAAACCTCAAATAATGGCAATCCTGGTATTTGACATTTTCTCAAACCGCAATGACTGGGAAAAATGCCAAAGGTAGCTTTTTGTTGTTGACTTGGCGGGACAAAAAGCAATAAAAACTATTTCTGTACGTAAATAATTGTCTAGGATTTTTTTTTCTTTATATATCTAACCTTTTTTTCTAAACATTTCCTTCGCTACGCACTACATCATAAACACACGGGAGACGGTTAAGCGGCCAATATCTTATTTCAAATTACTTATCAAATACCAAGTTTTCCTGATTACAATTAGTAAGCCAGACAGACTTTTTAAGCACATTGTAACAAGTTGTATTTCTTATTGTGATTTCATGATGATAAAGGTATAAAACGGTTTAGGTATATTGTAATAATTTAGACATGGACATTGATAATTACCTGCATTTGTAAATATTTTCTAGGCCTCCTGTATTTCCTTCTTTTTACTTCGCCATTCGGTAATATTACGATATCTTTTTCACTAAGTTTTCGTTTCATAGGTCGCACCATGGGTCCCATCATTGGATTCAGTGGTACTGGTAGCGACAATCGTGAATGGACATGCTGTTTACCATTCAATTTATTTTTACTACATGCATTTAAGTTAGATGTAAAATTCTTTGTTGGATATGTATTTTGCATTAAGAACGGATTATTTTTACCTTGAAAGTCTTTTAACGGCGGTATAATAGCATCTAGTGTGCCTCTACTAGACGTTTCATCACCTGACGATTCTATTTCATGAAAATTGCTATAAGGTGGTAACCTATCCATATGCTGTAACGACATTATTTTGGAATGTTCGATAATGTTTTTTGTAGACAACTTAGATACTTCTAGGTTCATAGTGGCTATTCTTGTTGTGTGGGTATTTACACTAAAATTGCTAGTGTTCACTGGGCAAATATTAGTTTTTTCAATATTCTCTTTGGATATATTGTCTAATTCTACAGTACATGGAACTAAGGACGTGTTGAATAATGGCACTGGGGGATTTTCACAGGTGGATTTAGCTTCATTAGTTTCACTTTCGTTTATAACAGTCATACTTTCTATTTCTTTGGCATCGGATTTTCTATTAGATGACGTACACACTGTAGGAGAGCATTGCTCATCGTTTTCAGTAGGTTTGACAGACTCGTAGGAACTAGTGGAATCATTCTCCGAGTTTGAATTAGAGTTAAGATTTTCATGAAACCGTTTGCCCATCATTAGATTGAGCCAGTGACCATCAACCGGTACTATCATACGTTGATTGTGATTTTTATAGGAACTTTTATCGGTGTTACTGCTAGAAGGTTGTAAACTGAAACAGAAGAGAAACAGGATAACAATTATAATGTAAAATCACCAATGCATAAAGACAATGTAATATATTTTATTTATTTATTTTTATAGACTTTTTTTTTCTTTTCTTCAGGCATAAGATTTGTTAAAATAAGTTGGAGAAGACAAAGGCTCCTGAAACACAGTTTTCAGCTAGCTTGGGAGCGCTTGGATTCATTAAGTTTTGTTTCATTTGAAATTATGTCAATAAATACATTTTTACTTTAATAGAATAAGGAATATGCTTAAAAAAAATACAGAAAGGGAAAAGGAGGAATACATTATTAAGCGAAAGAACAAGCTTTAATGTAGGCATAGCCTAACAAAAAAAAAAGAACTGAAACAGAAGGATGATTATTACACTCTATTATGGCAACAGATCTGACTGACCTAGGTAATAATAATGTAAGTGATTACTGAGTTAGTTTTTAACTTTGTTTATAGGGGGTAATTTTAGGAAATACTTATTTGATCATGAAATTTCTTACACCTACGGCAAGTACATTATACGCGGGTGACAAAGGCTATACGCGGGTACTTACGCGAAGAAAACAGGTAGTGTTGAATAAATACCTGTCATCTACGATGGGTTGAGCTGGAGGCGACGGTGGACGTGGTAGAAAGCGGAGTTTTGGCGCATATGTTCTAACCAATTCATCAGTCAAAGGTTCTCTTTTCTTTATCTGATATAAATACAAAATATAAATTATATTAATATATTATTTTAACTGTTGAATAATATTTTTCATGTCACTAAAAGACATCAACAATCTAGAAACTCTAGAAAAGCATGGTAATCCTTATCTGGAACCATTTTGGCATATTATGCCATTAAATAGTATGTACATCTACGATTTTTTTTATACTCGGAAAATCTACGTATAACGCCCTTTCTCTTCCCCATAGGGAATACTATAAAACCTAGGATCATAATAACTGATGAATTATTAAATATGCTGAGTTCATAAAATTTATCTAGTGATTTTCCAATATAAAAAATAAACTTTTTAGAATAGATATTTGTACCTGTTCTAAAGCGGAGAGTTGTAAAGGAGTGGGTGGCGGCCGCCGTAAACGCAGCCCCCATATTGTAGCTCTCTTCTTCATCTCTCTGCCGCATTTGAAACGTTTACGGGACGATGTTAGCGCTGTCAAGATCTTCTCACGCCTCTCGTTCACAGGAGTTCGCCACATCTAACATAAATAAAATAAACCTATTTTTGATACTTAAGATATGTTATCGTAGTATGGATATGCCTGCGATCTTGAGAATCAGGTGTAAATTTATATATTTAAGTATCTATTAGATATTACTTTTATTATTTTCTTGTGTAATATAAACTTGAGATGCTACATTTCGTTTTTATTGTATAAAATAAACCTTTAAATTGGATCTTTGTGTAGTCATGTCCATATTAATATATACTTATGTTTGAGGTCAGGAATCCTGGTTCTATAAATTAAGATTGCATGTACTATTATATAAGACAGTGGTTTCTATACTATGTATCTCGACCCCATTTGGAATATAGTGTACATTTGAATTTAAGAATGCAAGTTTTCTTTTTATTCCACATGTTCAGAAACATGAGGAATAGGTTATTTGTAAGTAAACAGAGTCATTTACTTTGAAACATATTTCTGATCTGATTTTTTTAAAATCATTTTGAGGTATATTAATACTATTTATGATTATTGCAAGTGTACCTTTTCAGGTAATTGCAGAGCGTGCCAGTTGTCCATGATGTAGGGCATGATAACGTTGTCCAAGTCGAAATAATTCGGTGCGTTGTAAGCGGTAAGATTGTACAGCGCTAGATGTGCTAGATCCAGCCAGCACAACTCCAAACGCCGCAAGTACTCATTGCCGCCGTTGCATTCCGCGCACGCGAATATATACAGCCTGAAGGAAAACACATTAATGCAAACTAGTGTTATAATAATAGACAAACAACAATATAAATGAGGATAATATTTGAGTGGGCTATTCAGCAAGTAGTATTTTGCCTTTTTAAATATATTTCAATAAATGCGATATTTCTAAAAGATGCAAGATCTATTAAAAATTATATTCGGCAAATTAGTTACTACTGAACTAGACTTAAGAGCAACTATTGTAAATATAAATAAATGGATCAGTTTAGTTTAAGACTATAGGTAAATATATTTCTTTTATATAATTACTTATAAAATAGTAAATAGGTTCGAAATATCTATTAATACACTATGAACAACATAACCTTATGGACATACAAAATCAGCACAAAAGAGATGTTGTTTGATTAATAAATAGTATTCACTTCATTTTAATCTACATTAAAATTATATATCATTTATAATTATTATTATACAACATATAATTAAATTAATGTGATGCTTCCATAATTTACTTATTTTATATTTGAATTTGAAGCACATTGTACCTAAACTTTAATCTATGTAAGTACAACTATTTTACTGTATAGTATAAAACAAAGTTGCTTTTCAATGTCTGTATTCTGAGACCTTTTAAATTACACAAAGGATTTTAATGAGGTTTTCATCGATATACAGCGTGATTGAAGAGGAAGATTTATAAGAATAATACAGAACCACGTGCGCTAGCGAGAAGCTACTAAAAAGTTGAAAATAAAATAAATAATGCAAGAAATTCACTTACTTATCACCAGCATACAACGGATATTGCAAACTTGACACACATCTTTGGTGGAACCACCGTGTACATCGACAGCACAACAACATCTGAAAGTGTTCCATGCCGCATATGTAAAGAATTCTGTCTTTGTGTTCTATGTGAGAAGAATGATAAAGCAATACTACCTGAGCCAACCAATCACTTTTCTCTCCACAATAACAGTGGTTTTCATTTTGATCTTTTCCAGCTTCTGATGCTGTTGACGACGTTGTGGAGGCAGTCTGTAAGTACATTTCTATGTAAGCTTTTTGGAGTTTTTACGCGAGATTTTTGTATTTAAAACATAATGATAAATATATATAGAAGGCTTTTAGAAGCGCAGTAAACGCTAGCTAATAAGAGTGATTCAAAAAATCTACGGGAACGCCAAGCGTGATTGAGTGCAACCTAGCCCATTGTATTTTACAGACTGATTATCTATTCTGACATTATAAAGACGAAAGATTTGATAGTTTGTTTGTTTGCATTGAATCGCAAAGCTACCGGATGGATTTAAAAAAATTCTTTCACCTGTAAGAAGCTTAATATGCAGCTTTAAGTAACGAGGGCGAAGTCGCGGGGAAACATCTAGTAAATTCTAAACATACATTCTGTCCTCTATCGAATTGTCTAGTTTGCGCAAACGAATACTCACAAATGTAAAGCCGATTTGAAACAAAATCAATTAAAACTAAAAAACCCATTTAAAAAATGTTCATTTTTTCCATTTAAGTAAAGGATGTTGAAATGGTTTATGACTTTATGATAACTATACTCCATTCATTATAGCATTAGACAGAAGTGAAATAAGGTTCTTTTTATGGTATACTTTGTACAATAATCATGTTACTTTTAAGACTGACGGCTAATTTGCTACATATTCACTTAAATATCAGCTGCTATACTTAACTGTTGTTATTTAAGCTAACTATTAAACAAATTTATGAGTATATGACTAACTTAAATGATTTAATAAGAATTACAATAAAAAGTGTCCTTCGTAAAGAACCTAAAGAAGCAGGGTTGGATAGTTTCGGCACGATTCTCATGTCACTATAACTGTACCAAATTTAAAACGTTGCCTAACCTCTTCAAGCGTTTCGGTAGTACAGCTTTTTAATTTTGACAGACTATTATTTATTCATAATTGTTAAAATCGTAATCTGGGATTGTCATCCATTGTGAATGCTACTGCCTTTCTTGTTGTTTAGCTGTTTTCCGTGATGTTATTGTTTTATTTTTGTTAAGTTTTGGTAAATATGGACGATGCCGGTACAGGCCCGAGTGGCCTACAAAAATTACGCTCTAAGCCCCCATACCTACCCTCAAACTTTCACATTTCAGGGCGTTTTTCCAATGTCTTCATCAATAGTCTAACTTATTACACTTACAATTAGAATTTATCAAAACACACAGATAGTTTCAGTTTTAGTTCCATGTTGGCTTGGGACTAAAGATGAATTTATATAATGCTGGCCTCATCTCAACCCCGAGGTATCATAAAAAAATGGAAAATTGCCCAGCTCTTTCAGACTACCTAACGTTCAAAGTTTCAACAAAACTAATATAGATTTTTTAAATTTATCTTGAAAATAAAATGTTCTGCACTGCTGCTTCTATGACCCCCTTTTTTCTAATGTTATAGTGAATGGAGTATAAATATTCTTAATGTCACCATGATAGGGATACCAGAGCTAAAATGCGATTTTGAACTGATTGAAAATGAAATACCTGTGAAGTTTTGGTTTAGGTTAGTGAGTTTTAATAGAACTTTGATTTAAATCTATCGTTTTTAATCTTCTATTATATTTTAATAATATTTGTATAGTTAAAACCCAACAAATATTACGTATATTTGTTGGGTTTTACTATACTGAAGAAAGGTCAACGTATATATGTATTGGAATTTAAATAGACCTACATCGCAAGGTGGTGTTAGTTCTTGCTGCTGTCTCCTCTGCTGACCTCCCTTAAATCTAAACAGATCTGTCCGTTTCAATGCCCGGTTTTCGGCCGCCGCCACTCTATACCTCTGGTCGACGCATCTTTTACAATGCCATGACGCTCCTGAAAACAATTATCTCTGTTTCACGACACCATATTTTAAACCCAATTACATTCTGTTAGAAAAAAAATTGTTAGATCTCGCTCTAGAACAGGTTCCACAGTTTCATTAAGCGATTAGTTAGATGCATGGCATAAAGGTAGACGCAAATTAATTAGGAAAAAGGGAATTTTAAACTTATTTGTATCAAAACATACAAACCATTGCAAACATGTACCACTGAAACGTTAGTAATATATCATCTGTGTCATTTGCAAGGTATAAAGAAAAATGCGGTTCATGTGTCCCCTTTGGCTCTGTTAAGATATGAAATCACTTAAAGTAGTGGTATTTTTACTTATCTATTATAAAGTTATAACAATCAAATATGAAATGTGTTGGAAATGGTAGCTTATATTATTATGTAAAATGTATGTAGTGTGTATTTATGTAGTTTTTTTTATTTTGTTTTCAAAATTAACTTTTGATTTATAATGTGTATAACAGATACCGAAACGCGGGCGAGCATGATGGATGTGACGTCACATTTCAATAAAGGTAACATCATCATCTTTTTTGCAAGTTCAATGCGTACTGGACTCGTACTTATTGAAATATAACATTACAGCTAGAAATGTCACGCGATTGATTGTTTTTAAAGTTACATTTAATAACAGTTTTTGTGCAAAAACAAATCTGTGGCCTAATAGTCTAATTTTAAATTCTATCACGATCACTTTTTAATTGCGATCGCGAAGTTTTTTGCAGATATTGAATGAACGATAATGTTCATTTGACGTTAATCGTAATTGTCTAAGCAAAGCGATAGTTATAAACATCTTTGTAAACTATTGGGAAATGTCAAACGAAATGAATTGCCTATGACAATTATATCATTCAAATCATCATTCGTTCCAAAAGCGATTGAGACTTTAAAAGTTACACAATTCCATAAATTACTATCGCAAATGCCACTTATAGTGGTTAAACCACTATAAACATAAACATATGAAAGTTTTAAAGTATTTTCCCAACAGTCGAGTACCCAAACTGTAAAATATCTTACCTGTGATCCAAGACTCTACGGGCGGCGAGTGGCATTTAGCATGGTATCCTCTGCCACACATATCACATGCTATAATGGCGTTAGTAGCAGGGCTGGCCGCTGGACCCTCCCGCCGCTTGCATACCACGCACATGATGCGGCCATCGTCCGCCGGTGGCGCACTCAACAACTTTAATGAGGAAATGGGCGCCCAAGAGTGTGTTCCATCACCGAACTTGATGAAACAACGGGCCACACCCGTGCCAACGTCGCACAAATCATTGTCATTACTGGTGCTCAATTCTACTATTGTCCCTGATGAAAGATAATAGACCATCATTACTATGAAAAGGGCTTTAGATATCTTGGAATCTGAGCATTCCATGTTATGTTCCCCATTTTTATTATGAAACATCTACTAAAATATTATTTAAATTATTTTGAACTCTACATTGCAGTATATAGGTAATAAATAGATTTTAAATATAAAAAACATATGTTTCCCATAAGAATGAAATATTTCTGGAAGTTTTAATAGTAGCCTAAATCCTACTAAAACAATGCTTTGCTTTATATCTTTGCCTTTCTTTTACATTTACATGCATGGCTATATTTAACTATTGGATTATACCAACCTAAATAATAGCGACCATCTTTATTAGAAACCAGGACATCATCCCCACAGTGGAACGGGTTGGCATTGTTTTTCTCTGTATTGGTTGTTGAGTCTGGCATTGCATCCTGTGTTTCTTCTTCTTTTTTCTCATTCTTTTTACTAGCACATGGTGTAACCGTCTTGTCAAAGTCGCTCAACAGAACATCGATGAGTGACAATTGTGTGGAAACCTCTTTGAAAGATAATAAACTCTACATTAATTTTAATATGACAATACCTGTTGATATTTCATGGTTTCATTTAAAAAACTTTGAAATACTATTTATTAATTAACAATTATGTTCTTTGAGGGGTTTGTGAAAGAAATAGTGCATTTTTGTTTAGACTTAATAATGATAAAAACCTTGATTATATTTAAATACAGTAACCTATAAAAATAATGATATAAAATTCTTTCTCTTAATTATACATAATAGTGATTTTTCTTTCTGTCTGTAATTAAATGGGCCTATTCTCATTTAATTTTCTCATCACCATTAGACAAGTGGTTCTTAACCTAAGAGTAAAATAAGTTATTCCTTGTAGGTGAAAAGGACCTAATAAAACCTTTAATACAATAATAACATAACAGTCTCTAATTGGAACATAATTAAAACCATGTTCTAAGTGAAAATAAGTCAATAATATCATTTGTGGACATACCCAGAGATAATTTTTGGGAGAGACATTGCGAGTTAGGGATGGGGAATTTGATGGTAGGTAAAATCAGTTGTCCTAATAAGTCATAAAAGTAATTAGACAATAAAATTGTCTACAAAAGTATGCTTAAAGCAATATCTTCATTTGCAATATTGATTATTCCAATTACCTAAAAAAATAACCAAATACGAAGTTCTAGCCGGGACCTATGAATTAATGTGCTTTCTGAAGCACATAGGAGATTGAATTAATAAATTTTTTGGTCACCTATCCTTGCTTTATGCATTGTTGATATACAAAAATTTAATCTGATTGATAGTTATTTCAAAAAATGTATTTCTGTTTTTGTAGTGTATACTTACATGTAGTCCAATTCCATTGATTAGCAATTAAGAACAAAATTAATTTAAAACAGAATTATATTAAAAATACCTAAGATGAATAAACATTAAGGCTATGCCCAAACTGGTGATTATTTGTCATTGTGACTTGGTGTTTCAATCACAGTGCTGTAATTTCTATGGAAATCCTACCTAATTGTTACATGTTCAAAAGCACATGCCACTGCGAGAATTCATATGCATAGTGACAGTCAACAGTAAATAAATCCTATTGCTATTGTTTAGAAAAAGCTTGTATGTAGTGCATTGTTTACAAGACTTTGTTAAAATTTTATTTGCATTAATTAAATAGATGAGATTGGTATACATAAACCTGATCAATACCTAAATATTTCTAATACTATGACTCTAAAAAATTTGGGGATAAAGGATTCTTCTTCTTCTTTTTAATTATTGGCGTTATATATGTTACTCTGACGGATTTCTAAAAAGCATAATGGTCAAAGACTTACTATGAGATACTTAAATCCTCTATTCTCAAACTTTGACTGTTTGTGTCTGTGACAATATTTATGTCAAATGTAATGAAAAAGGTGTCGCGGCTTTGAAGCCAAGATTTAATGGTGATCATTCTAATGGTAAAGGTAATTATATACTTTTTCAACGTAAATTAGTTTCTTTATAATGGGTGACATAGTCCATTATAGATAGGCAATTAGGGGAATTAACAAGCAATAAAATTCAGTCCGGAGAGTTTGATGACGGACGGAAAGGACCTCATTTTTATAAACACTACAACGAAAAGGGCTACGGTGAATATGGAACTACAGCGATCATCCTACATGGAGTAAGAAATTTCGTAGTTATCGTTTGGCTTAGTACGTTATAAAAAATATATGCTTACCAGCGTTGATATCCATCTCACTTAAGTAATTTTAACTTATAAACATGATTTCAACGCACGTCTATAACACTAATCTAACGTAAAAGAACATACACCGAGAGCATTGGCGCTATATCGGCCATTATACTTAGTAGTCAAAGTCAAACGTTTCACAGGTTTCCCGCGGTATGATTTAGAACTTCTAATTTTGTGAAATTCTTTAATGATACAAACAATTTTCTAAGTATCCACGTAATTTTACACTTAGTTTTACTTATATTTAAAAAATTAAAGCTGAATTTGTTAGAAATCTTATTAAATATCCCTTCTTTTTCATATCCAAGAACCAAAGCGGTTACCTTCCCCACCCCGTCAGGGCTACCAACACAAAATTATGAAATGCCGTGTTTTAATTTTTTATTGCCGTGCTACATATTTGATTGCCGTGCTATTTAAAAATATTCTTAAATATTATGTAATTAAATAAATTAAGAATGTTAATATGTCTGCCTTGATGTTTAAGCAAATTTTTAGTACCAAATCAGTATTTTTTCATCGTTTTTTATTAATAAACTAACATTTGCAAGATATGAAATTAATTCATTTATTTATTGACAACAAACAGCGGTTAAATTACAACATATTTGAATAACTTATAATTAGGTTTAAACATACGTAAATATATCGATTATAGGTTTACAGAATATTCTTGACATTATTTATTAATATAATTATACTTTGCTTAAAATAATTACAACGATAATCTTATATGACTAACGGTCAGTTGTACAAATGCCATGCTTTCCTTTCATTTGTGTCAGTTGCGCAAATGAAAGGAAAGCACGGGCAAAAGTACTTATATTTTGTCTTATTTTACAGCTAGTTGCACAAATGTCCATTAAGGTTTAAATACGCGTTTAAGCTTTAATGTATGTCAAATTTGTATCGGTTATATTGCTTTGAACTTATGAAAATTTTAATGTACGTTTGTGCATTAGACTAGCTGTAAAATAAGATATAAATATAAGTACTCTTGGCCGTGCTTTCTTTTCATTTGTGTGTGGTGGATGCGGACGTGTAAGTTTTTCACTAAAGAAATCAAACAATTATTTTTAAATAAATTCATCATTAAATATAAATGACCTTTATGATAAGTATTATTTTTTTCGAATTTGAAGATTTTTTTCAATTTTTATTTTGTATTAATTTTCCACGTCAAACAGCAAATGTCGTGTTAGTGGCAACATTGCGTGCCATTACCCCTCTCACCGCATAAACGCAGTATTGCCAGCGATTTATTTTTGATTTTCGCTTATTTGGCGAATGAGAAGGCAATGATAGATGTCAAATGCTTGGATGCCACCATCCCGTAGACAGAGCAACGTTCACTCGTACAAAACAGTATATTTTTACTTATTCTCCGCCACATTACCAACATATTACTAACTACTTGTCTCTGATCATACATGTAGTAATATGGCAGAGAGTAAGTAAAAAAATACTGTTTTAATGATATGGGACTTACGGTGTTACTTTTTACGGACTTTACATCGGACCGATGATACGTTTCAAAAGGGACCTCTTATTTTATAAAGATTATATAGTAAGGATCAAGGGTCCCTAGAAACTTGGGAGAGTAATAAAGATTAAATAGTGTTGTCCACCCTGCTTTTTGGTGGAAATTTTATAAGATACTCGTATAAGTGGAGGCTTGTTTTAAGATTTTTAAATCTAAAAATATTATGGACTGAAAATAAAAATTTCATGTTTAGGACTTCATCAAAACATTAAGTAATACATTACGTTTTTTTTTTTGCATTTTATACCGTTAGCACACCGACGTAATCACATGAAGGTAGATTTTTACAGGAAACGAATGGACCAAAATAGTCATTTTCGTTCCTTTACACTATCATATTAAAAAACTGAAATTAGCAAAGTTCAATACTAAGATATCAATACAAATAGGAAAAAGTACAAATAGAATATGAGTTGTGTATTGAATTTTGAAAATTAATTTACTTTTATACATGAAAGAAAACTGGAAGGGTTGTCATGACGGAGAAATCAAGAAAGTACCGTAGCGACATCTAGTTTGATTTCGGGAAATAATGTTTTTTTTAATACTTCCTCATTATTATGTTTTTCTCTAGTTATAACTTATGAGTGTAGGTACGATGCTTTAAATCACAAATAACGTACAGTATACGTCTCTAAAAGTTGTGGATTTTAACTATTGATCAATAATTATCACTAACCACAAACAGTTACTACGGTCAATTAATTTCCAACTTTAGTTGAGTACCTAAGCTACATAATTCCCTTTTGTGATATTTTAGATCAATGTGTCATAATCAGAAAAAACGTAAAGTTGATACAGAATGTCAAATGTTTAAAAATAGTTGCACTGAAGCCTTTTTATCATAGAACATAATGAAATCATACTGTGTCTCATAAAACGTTTCAAAAATATCAATTTGCAAGGAATACGATATAAAGCGCCATTATTCTACAAAACACGCCTCTAAATATGATGAGTGCAAACGACAAATTCAAATTGATCGCGGTAATTTGTTAAAAAAAGATATGGCCGGTCAACAAGCGATGTTGAAAATACCGAAAGAAAATTTTATTCATGACAGCAGCAATCGAAGCGAAGCAATTTTTGTGTCATTAGCTACAGTAGCCTGTCCGGAACAGAAATAATAATAAATAATATAAGCTTGTCATATCAAACCAGAAAAATTTATTACTTGGCCAACGATATTGAGTCGTCGTTAAAAACGCAATTGCAGAAATACGTTTTCTATAGTTTAATGCACGACGAAAGTACTTATATGTCATACAGCGCAATTAGCAATTATCATGAGAGAAGTAAGCGACGACTATACCATTATCGAGGAATTGCTAGATTTGCGTTCAATATAAGATACAACCACTGGACAAGACATCGACGAAGAAGTTAAAAGTTGTATAGAAAAATATGAATTTCATACAGAAACTCTGCGGCTTAACAATAGATGGTTGGTACACCTAAAGATTTTTCTAGAAAACAAACCAAGATATTAGTTTCTATACTGATAATAATAATAATAATATGATAATAATTAATAATAAAATAATAATAATATGATAATAATTAATAATAAAATAATAATAATGATGGTTGGCTGATCTGACTTTCCTGTGGCCTAATTGTCTTATTTTTCAATCTATCGCAATAATTTTCACGTTCCGAAAACAATTATAACTTTTAAAGTCATAATTGCTTTCGGAACGAATGATATAGAATGTTATAGATAATTCATTTCGTTTTGTTGTTGTTAAGTTGTGAAATAAAAACTAAAGAATAAAAATATTTTATTGATATAAATAAAATAATAGAATATTAAATTATTTCGTACTATTGACAAACACAACGATTTATTTCAACAAAAATCAAACAAAACCATCGTATTATCGAACTAACAAAACGCACCAAACGCCTTTTTTTATGTCAGCTCGTCTAGGGATAATCAATTTGTGTAAATACAAGTACTTACTCGATACTTTTATTTCGATACCAAGTACTTATGGCATCGATACTTTAGAACCGAGTAGTAAATAGTATCGTGAAGTAAGAAAGTAAGTGTATAGTACCTTATAAATATTTGAGCTCGGATTGGAGCTATTGACTTCTATTTTTTTAATAAGTTTTTATGGTATAGATTTCCTAATTATATAATCTAAGGGAGAATGTATATTGACTCAATAGAACAGAAATCATAATTTATAGATAACTATTAAGAACATACAATACAAAACTCTTTATTGTTCACATTACACAATGAATTACAAAATTTTATAGTAAATTAACTATTATGTAACAATTGGCGGCCTTATCGCTTGAAGCGATTTCTTCCAGGCCACCAGTGCATGGAGAGAGGTTACATGAATAATGAAGATGGGGGTGTGAATGTTAATAATATATCATTGAGGCACACTAATGATTTATTTTAAGTATCTAAAAAAAAGTCGTGCTAAATACACATACAAATGTGCAATAAATAAATACGATACAAATTATATTCATTAACAACATATACATACACACATATATAAATATATATACACCTATTAATATCAAAACAGGAAAAAGCGATAATGTGATGTTGTTAAATATTTATTTATTTATTTACACATGTATTTGTGTTTCATTAGGCGGCATTCATTTGTTTTTTTATTATTATTTTTTTTTATAATACGGCAGCAGTAAGTTATATTATTGTGTGAGGTAGTATTCTTTAACATATTTTTTAAATATTTGTAAGGATTGCGCTCGCCTGATTAAAAGAGGAAGAGAATTCCATAGACGAACAGCTTGTACGGTAAAAGAAGAATCATAAAATGAAGTGTGATGAGATGGAATCGCAAGACTCAGGTTCGCCGATGCTCGCAAAGAATAGGAATTTGAGCAATACAGAAAACTAAAACGATCTTTTAGATAGCAAGAGTAACTAGGATTGAACAATATGTTATAGAGAAGGGATAATATATGAGAATTCCGGCGAAGACGTATAGGAAGCCACTTGAGTTGAGAACGAAAATGAGAAACATGGTCATATTTGCGCAAACCAAAAATGAAACGGATACAAAAGTTTTTATTAAAATGATAAACTTTTAATATCTAGCTATTTTTTTAGCGAAATGTAAATATTGATTCTTTGTCCACTTTTTAGTTGGGTTTGAGTCGGTTTGACGTACGTTAATATGTCGTATTTGGTATTTAGTTTTGTCTTACATGTTTGTGCTGTCGTGTTATTTTACATGTCTCAATGTGTTTCGTCTTATAAGAACTTAATATCGATATTATTCTGCTAGCCCCACCCGAACGCATTTTGAACACATCCCTGGTGTGGTGGTTTTGGTGTTCGAACCAAAAACATATCAAAATTACATTATTCAAACTAATCAGTATTTGTCTGATATTAACATCAGGAGCACCCTCACATCAGTGATACCATCCAAACATGATCCAAACTAAGTAGTGTCATTGTCCTAGAGAAACAAGAAGACAAGCAGGTCATAGACTGTAATTTTTAAACTCATACAGTCTACTGCCTACCTACTCTTTTTAAATTTAAGAAATACATGATGTGACGCCTAAGCAGACAGCAGAACATTAAAAAATATATCGATTATGATACAAATTCGATATCTGATTATAAATATCGATTTTTTTCAGAAAAAATATCGATTGTTTGATACATCAAATGTTTTTTCTCAATCCTAGTTTACTAAAAAATACTGAACAAAGAAGAAGAGAAGAAAAGATTAGGCCTTGCCTTATGAAATAATATAATAAAGGATATACCCAAGATATGGCTGTATGGCTCAGTTCCTTCGCCTGTCCCATAGACGAAATTACTACTGATTACTACTCCTGAACAAAGACAGTGTATTGTATTGAAACAATTCTGAAAAATCCAATACAAAGAGAAAATCAAATACTTGTTTTTAACAATTACCTATGTATTAATTAGTGCGTACTTCGATTATGTGGATAATTTTTCTGTATTTTACTCCATGATTAATTAATTGGATAATTGGACATGGGTAATTCCGGTCTCAAGCAACATTACGACACAGCGTCAAAAACTGGTGTTTTACAGATAACTGATCACAAATTGAAGGAAATTCCCCATGAAGTGCTTAATTTATGTGAAATCCTTAGAAATTTAGATTTATCCAAAAACAGACTATCTTATTTGCCAGACGAGCTAAGTAAATTTAAGCAGCTGAAACAACTTAAATTGGAAAGTAATAAACTGGATTCCTTACCCGAGTGTATAGTAAACTTAAAGAAATTAGAATTATTAAATGTTGCATATAATTCTATTGTCACACTTCCTAAGTCATTTAAATGTATGTGTAATTTAAAGCATATTTATTTGAACAACAATAAATTTAAACATTTTCCATTGCAATTGCTCGGACTGCAAAATCTGGAAGTTGTAGATTTGTCACATAATAAGATTACTGAAATACCTTCAGGAATGTCAGAACTCTATGCAGTGGAGTTAAATTTAAGTCAAAATGAGATCTCAGTGATATGCAATGACTTGCATGAGGCACCAAAATTAAAGATATTGAGACTCGAAGAGAACTGTTTGAGCTTAGAAGCAATAAATCCAAATTTGTTGCGAGATTCAAAAATTCATACATTAAATTTAGATGGAAACCTCTTTGAAGTGAAACAGTTAGCTTCTCTTGAAGGATATAATGAATATACAGAGAGATACACTGCTATGAAAAAGAAAATGTTTTGATATTTTACAAATTGTTTTACGAAACTTTGTACCACATATTTTAGCTGAATTATAATTATTCCACTGTCATTAAGCAGTTGTTGCTTTCAATTATATTTATTGAATTGTTAACTCTATTTTAGTATAGTAAAAGGTGATAAAGTTTGTAAATCAGGATTATGTTAAGGATTATTTTCATTATAAGTGTTAAAAACTTACACCTTAATGACATTGGGGATAGTGCAATAGCTCTTTAAATTTTTAAGTGAATTAACATAAAATAATTTATTTAATATATGTACATGGTTATATGAGTTCAGACATTTTAAAATCCTTATAACATTGATTTAGTTTTCGTTGTTATGATTGTTATGGATAAATGTAGCCATAATTTACTTGACTCTTGACTTCAATTAATTTTAGTTAAAAATACCTACATTACAAAATTATTGAAATCAAATCAGTATCTGATTTTAAACAAATTTTTTTAAGGATACGCATCAAGTACTTCACAGATTGTATTTAGTTATGTGGAATTGCACTATCATTTTCTTTGTAATTGATATGTTCTAATTATCATGACCAAATAAATAATGATATGTATCATAAATATATATTAAAGAACATTGTATATATTGCTTAGGTCTCAAATAAGTAGGCTTTAGCACTTGTATTAAGAAATGAAACCAGGGTGCAAGCCACTCTGTTATGGAGTTAGTCAATGATATTTTTAAAACAGTTTTTTTCATATATTTATTTTAGATACTTTATTAATATTATAAAACAAGCTACTTTATTGTAATGCACATTATTTTACAGTAATACTCAACTAATAATGGTGAGCCATGATAAAATACAACCAATTAGGTTTTAGTCACATTGGTACTTTGAATTCTGTTTGGTCATAATTTGCAGTCTTCTTAACAAGTACATAGGTACATAGCCGTATCAGTTGCTAGTTCATACTAAGTTGACGTTATAAGTATGTATTCATAATATTTTCCTTAATAAACCTATATGTGTTTAATTATCACCAGTGAAAATGATCTTCACTACACATTATGTATCATTATATAATATTTTCACTTTAATAATATTTCACCTTAGCAACATGCTAATTTAAATTTTGTAATTAAATTATTACTCTAAATCATCGTCTCATTATTGTGTTTTCTATGATATGTGATGCAAGTTAAAAGTTTATCATTTTAATAAAAAATATATTCTTACTATAACTTATGATTTCTGTTCCATTGAGTGAATGTACATTCCCCCTTAGATTATATAATTAGGAAATCTATATCATAAAAACTTAAAAAAAATTCAAGACAATAGCTCCAATCCTAGCTTGTATATTTAATGAATGTACTGATTGTGGTATTTTTCCTGAGCTCATGAAATATAGTAAAATTGTTCCTTTAAATAAATCGGGTAGCTCATCTGACCCTACTAACTTAAGACCTATATCCGTGCTACCTATGTAAGATTTTTGAAAAAATTATGTTGGATCAAATACAAACATACTTTTACAAGAATAACCTTATGAATCGACAACATTTGGTTTTACATAGGGTCGCACAACAACTGAAGTCGGTGTCGTGTTAATACAAGAAATTATTTAATGCCTGGGAGGATTCAGATGATGCGTTGGGTGTTGTCTGTAACCTTTCTATGGCATTTGATTGTTTTTCATGAAACATTGATTAGGCAACTACATTATTATGGATTTAGAGATAACTCATTGGATTTTATTGTCTCATACTTGACTGACAGAGAACAGAGGGTTGATAGCAATGGCAAAACATCCCCTGGATCGAAAGTAAAGATGGGTGTTCCGCAGGGCTCAATACTTGTCTTATTTCGTAAGGGATAATGACGAAATAGTTTTGTTTGCCGATGACACTTCACGTTTAAAATTAAAAGAGGGCTACTCTATCGTGAACAATTCTATCGCTAAAGTAGTACATTAGTTTAATGTAAATAATCTTCTCCTTAATGAAGGAAAAACAAAATGCTTAAAATTTGTACTACCTAATGTCCTACCTATCTCCTTTTTTAAGATATAAATGTTAATATAAAAGACAAGAACATGGGCCTTGTGGATATCACAGTATTTTTGAGGAATAACATTAGATTCTAAACTACAGTGAGGCCCACATATCGATTAATTGCCGAGTAGACTTAGCTCTGCAGCATATGCCGTAATGAAGATATCGTCTATGAAGAGTCAATAAATAATAACTGCAAAAATGCAACTTTTCAGGAGACGAAAAAACGTTTCAAATCTATTATATAGGTTTTTTCAGTACATTGCAATTATTGTTTATCTTACAAAAACATAAGAAACGAACCCAAAATCTTTGTCACTATTGTGTAGTAATCTATTTTACAATGAATAATTCAATAAAACAAAAATTGACAAAATATCAATTATTTATTGACTCTTCATGGGCGATATGTACGTTAACTGACATAGATACTGACAGATTAGTATACTTCAGTTACTTTCATAGTGTGATGTCGTACGGAATCCTATTGTGGGGAAATGCTGTCGACATACAAACGATGTTTGTGCTTCAGAAAAGAGTAATTAGATCCATTTATAACCTCAGGATTAAGGACTCTTTAAGGGAGAAATTTAAGAAAATAGACATAAAGACTGTTGCTTCTCAATATATATACGAAAACTTAATGTACGCTCGTAAAAATATTAGTTTGCTTTCTATAAAAAGTGATGTATACAATTGAAATACAAGAAATAAAAATAAATTAACGGTGCCTGTCACTAGACTGCAAAAAGTTAGTAACTCATTCAGGGGTTTTTGTGTGCGCTTCTACAAGGTCCCAAGCAAAATACAAGAATTACATATCATGCACTTTAAATCTACTATTAAAAAAATACTCATTAAAAAAGCTTATTATAAGGTATCCGATTATATCGACGCTTAAGAACCAAGACCATCTAACTACACTTTTGGCGCTTTGGACTTTTTAATGCAGTTCTTTTCATGGTTAATTTACGCATCGTTTCCTATAATCGATTTGTGACACTTTCATACGAAACTCCCCACCCACCATACCATCTCACTAGCCGGATGATGAGTGCGCGAGACATTCCGTGCAGAAGCTGAGACATCCTTGCTACTTTTAGCGTCCACTTGTTTTGTCGGTTGAACTTTTCTTTGCCAGTAAAAATTTTCTCATTGGTGAAGAGTCTGGCATCATGTGTGCTCAGTAGCAATGGTCAACGGTCGCGTCGTAACTTACGAAAACGATCGTTTAAAAATTGAATTTTTCTTCGGCTATATGTCTTTATCTTAAGATCATATTTCAGTATTCTTACTGAAACGCGCGAAATATTAATTTGCAGAGCGAGTTTCTTTTTAGTGCGATATGGATTTCGGCGAAGTCGCTCTCGGTTGATTTTGATGTTTGCAGGCATCCTTACAGAGCGTGGCCGACCACTCCTTTGGCGCTCTTGCAGAGAACTTGTCTCTTTGTACCGTTGTATTGTGTAATAGACGGCTTACAGGAAAACTTTTCAGTTCGCGGAAAATCTGCATCGTTTTTTTTTCCGCCTTAAATAGCGAAATGACAGTTGCACGTCATTGTTTCGTACCTTCCATCACGACAAAATATAAACAAATGAATTTGCGATACAAATAAACTAACAATTAACATTCCAAACAGTCCAACAGGCGCAGACAGAGCATATCTTGCTCCTTGGCGCATGTTGTGCTTAAGACGGACTTAGACAGCAAAACCATACTTCGAGTTGTTACGGAGAAAATAGGTAGATACGAATATTAACTCAATTCAGAAAATTGCCGGTCTTGCATTTATTTAAATCCACCTATGCAATACACGTGAGCGCCGGCGTGTATCTTTAGTGCTCGTTTAGTCACACTCACACATAATCGTAATCGGACAATAAACAAGCATTCATATATTGTGAATTCACGTTTTTGAGGCTATCGTGCACACTCATCAGACGCGGCTTGACGTGTGCTTGCCTAATACTTTTACGCGCGACGTATTACTACGAAACTAATAGCCGTGCGTATACGCAAGTTTCGAATTCTTCACTTTTGCTTTAATTAATTAGAAGAAAATAAATTATAATAATTCCAAGTGTTATTTATTCGTATCATAATTCTATTATAAAAGTGTTGGTCACTCAATAAGGGAACAAAAGTACATTGTCGTTGTTGAATGGTTAGGAGGCCAGGATTGGCTGACTTTGATCTATCATTTTAAGGTCAGTATCTAACTTTATGAATAATTTTGGACAATTGTTTTTCTGCATTATGAATAAGTTATGAAGGACAAGTTTCAAAAGTTCATATAATATTGTATTAAAAAAAAAACCAATACGAAATATAAATTTATCTGGTACATATCTTGAAATTTGGCAATTTTTAATAATGATTAATATTTTCAATTAATCACCGTAACATCGGTATACTTTATTTAAAAAATATGGAACCTTATACTTTCCTAAAATAGAAGAATATACTCGCTGTTAGAATTCATTATTTGTCTTTTCTTATGTGCCAAAGTATTTATAATAGTTATAATCATAGCTTCATTATTATGGTATAATAGGTATAATCGAATAAATAGGCTTTTTTGTAACTAAAACGTAGGTAGGTACATAGTAAAAATACCTGGCGTTGACCTGAAGAAAATATATCAGGTCAGGCTATGTCAGTTTTAGTTGGTTTTACTTGATGATGTAGGTAGGTATCTAAATAAAATCTAAAATGTTTATTTACATATCAAATAATATAACACGTTTGTTTGTTTAGTTTTGTGGTTTTGCTTTGTTTACAAAAAAATACCGAACATGGAAAGAGAAAATAATTATTATAGCTACTGAAAATGCACTACAATAACATTCAGTAATTTTAGTATAGGTGTACCAGAATCTGATGACAAGAAACAAAAAAAAAACCGATTTTCATATGGCAATTTGACAAAAGTGTAAAAAGTTTTGAAAAAAGTGTTGTTGTGAATATTTGTGAAAATATTAATTTATTTTGTGAAAATCTCCAAAAAGCCATTGATCTCAAGCGAGAAATATTGTTTGTAATGTTTATAGCAAAATTTATGAAAAGAAGCTGAAGATCGACGATTTATTTTATTTTAAAGTGTGCTTATGAATTGACCGGTGACTAGCATGACTAAAGTCGTAAATATTCGTTGACTTTTTTATTACTTTATTTAAGTAGGAACCTATTTATTTATTTGTTTAGCTATTCATTAATCGCGAATTTAAAAAAATCAGAAATTGCGAAAGTACAATCGTTCGTTGTCGGAGATAGAAAAGTTTGAAAACCCTTATCCTTATGCCCGGCCACCCCGGGCCCGAAAATAAAATTTAAACCTTTTCTCAATCTCCGGAAGACTGAGTTACTTGATACATAGCGCAGCGGAACTGACGAATTTCACAAGCAAATTTTACTATGGCTATTAGTGACCGTATTTTCATCAGCATCTTGGTAATTCACCTAAAAATAATAGAAAGAAAAGCAGCCGTCTGGATTGCGACAGATTGTGGGTTTAAAACAGCTATGAGGTTGTTAAAAATTATTTAAAATATGAGTCCTTTTCAAGTGTTTCTTAGTCCAATTACGGTTTTTAGATATAATATGTAACGAAACGAAATAGGTAATAATGTAAATAAGAGATTGTGCCTATATCAACAACTATGACAACAATTTTAGTTTCCAGTTGTAGTCGATCTAGAAGCTCAATATAAAATTAATTGTTTGTTTTACTTGCACTACCTCGTGTGTTCATAAGTTTTGAGATGAAATAAAAGTTGCGTAACTTTTTAAATAATTAGGTTATGTTTCTAAAATTTTCAGTAGCCATTAAATAGATAGAAAAATATATATTTTATTCAAAATGACCGCCCTTGTTTTTAATATAGGCCCTTAGACGATTAGGCCAGTTATCAATGGCGGCATAAATCTTTTGTAGCGGAATTCGCTTTGCTTCTCGAACAAGGGTTCGCTTCAGTGGCACCAAGTTTGTGTGGGACTTTCGGCAGGTCCTGAGCTCTAATTCAGTCTATAAAGAATAATCCAGCGGGTTGAGGTCGGGGCTGGAGGAGGGCCACTCGTCCGAAGAATGAAGATGTGAAGGCCGGCACATTTTCCCTCAACGAAGCTTGGGTGCTTTTTGCCTTATGGGATGGCGCTGAGTCTTGCTGAAAAACCCAATCCTTA